CTTACTCGTCTCTACATAATTTGTATATTTGTCTACAGGTGAGCACACATAAATTATGTATATGCTGCAGAAATCTGCTGTATACCATGCTGTTTAGCAGGTGCTACACGATCTCTGATAGTAACATGAGCTAGAGATTTTAAAGCACTTTGAGTGGAGATCCATCCCCCAAAGCGTGAAATGTAGGCAAGGAAGATGATACGACAGACCGAGCGTTCTTCCCTGCAGTCAGATACGGGGTCGTTCCTGGCCACCCCGGCATTGCACCTTCTCCGTGCCCTAGGCCTCCCTGAATGCAGCTTCCCAGTCTTGACAGCCTTAGGTGCAGTTCCAGGTCCTCGCCGCCCTCCCCAGGATTCTTGTTTCCAGAGAAGATATGCACAGCCAGGCCTCGTCTGCAGCCTCTGCGTCCCCAGAGCTACTAGCTGCTCACTCTTTCTTGTGTTTTCCCCCCAGGTGCTCTGGCCTCCAAAAGCAAGAAGCCGTGTGTTCAGTACCTGCCCCCTGAGAAGCCCTGTGACAGCCCTGCCTCTTCCCATGGCAGCATGCTAGACTCCCCAGCTACCCCCTCCGCAGCCTTGGCCTCTCCAGCGGCCCCTGCTGCAACCCACTCGGAGCAAGCCCAGCCCCTCTCCCTCACCACCAAGCCAGAGACCCGGGCCCAGCTGGCTCTTCACTCGGCTGCCTTCCTGTCTGCTAAGGCAGCAGCCTCGTCCTCTGGCCAGATGGGCAGCCAGCCCCCTCTCCTGTCCCGGCCCCTCCCCCTCGGGTCCATGCCTGCAGCTCTGCTGACTTCTCCCCCTTCCTTCCCGGCCACGCTCCATGCCCACCAGGCCCTCCCAGTACTCCAGGCCCAGCCTCTTTCCTTGGTCACCAAGTCTGCCCACTAAGCTTGCCCTGCGACCTATGCGGGCTGTCAAGTGACCCATCAAGTAGTAATGATTCAGAAGAAGAAAAAGAGAAGGAAACTTTATTGGTCAATATTTGACCACCCTGGACTGTTCTGTAAAGTGACTGGTAATAACAGCACTTTACGTTTTGTAGATGTAACCAGTAGCTGATCTTAAGGCTTTTTTAAAAAACAAAACAAAACCCACAAAAAAAAAATCTTTGAAAAAAAAAAGAGAACTGAAAAGTAGTGTGTCATTCTTCCCATACGTGCAGTGGTGGATGGACCCGGGCAAAAGACCCCCTTCTCTCTACCTCTGAGACTTGCCTCCTCCCTTCTATCGCCGTCCCCACGTGTCCCGGCTCCCACCCCCCGTCTGCATGGCGGCCGCTGCTGCGATTTCTAGCCTGTTGCTTCATCTAGACCCCGTTCCTGGACGTTTCCTTTGATCTCGCCCAAGTTTTTCTCTTTGCTCAGCTCCGTGGGTTCCTGCCTTCATCTTCCTCCTCCTCTGCCCAGTGTAAGACTATCACCATGTGAGAAGACACTGCCTGGTTTGTCTCCACCAGCATCCCTTTCCCTCGGTGGGCCTTAGCCCCCAGCCTCCAGCTTCTGATGGGGAAAAAGGTCCTCTGAAATGGTTCTTCCCTACACTTACAGGGACTCAAGGTGCCTGCCACTTCCTTAGTGACAAAGTCTGTGTTCCACCCTTCACCACTCCGTCTCCCCGTCACAGTCCCGGAGTGGCTCCTGTCACCTGGGTCCGTGCCAGCACAGTCTGCCAAAGTTCTCAAGACCCTCCTCCCTCCCCCGTCACCTCACATGCTTCTGTGTGTATTTCTTTTTGTTTTTATGGGGTTTTGGAGCAATTTGAACTCCCGATAAGCTGTTTATTTTCACAAAAGAAAATAAAATTGCAATTGCAAAACCTTTTCTGAGTGTTTCAATCCTTTTGTTGAATCAAGCCCCTTTCTTTATACCAAGCCTTGTGCGAGATTTTTGCAGACGTGCAAAGAGGATTTAGCACTCTTTGGAGAGGGATACAAAACATGCCTGACACACTTAGACAAATCCAACCCAGCCTAAATGTGCATCGATCAGTCAGTATCAATGACTGAGATCCAAAGGGAGGAACCCTTTGGATCATCCCAAACAGAATCTCCATAACCATTAAGCAATAACTCCCTTATTCCTCCTCCACCCAGCCCCTGGTACCTCTAATCTACTTTATATTTCTGTGTATCTGCCTACTCTAAATATTTCATATAATTGGAATAGAAACATTTGTCCTTTTATGCCTGGCTTATATAACTTAGCATAACATTTTCAAGGTTCATCCATGTTCTCGCATGTATCACAATTTCATTTCTTTTTTTATTTTAAGTTTTGACAAAATAATTACTTTTCCTTTTTATGAGTACTTACCAGGGTTTTTTACTCTACTTGGATATATAGCTTTTTTAAAATGCAGCAAAATAAATATAATGTAAAATTCACCATTTTAACTACTTTCAAGTGGACTGTTTAGTGGTATTAAGGACATTTACAGTATCATACAACCATAACCTCTGTTGATTTCCAGAACTATTTCTTTTTTTTTTATCCTTACCTGAGGACATTTTTTGATATTTTGTTCAGATAGAGTGGGAGGGAGAGAGAGAGGAACATCGACGTGAGAGGGACACGTCGAGTAGTTGCCACCCGCACAACCCAGCCAGGGCTGGGGACAAACTGCAACCAAGGTACACGCCCTTAGCGGGAACCGAACCCCGGTCTCTCAGGACCGCAGGCCAATGCTCTAACTGCTGAGCCAAACCGGCCAGGGCCAGAACTATTTCATCTTCCAAACAGAAACTGTACCCACTAACAACTCCCCAATCCCTTCTTCCCCCGACTTTAGGAACTTTTAAGCTACTTTCTGTCTTTATGAATATGCCTATTCTGGGTACCTAATACAAATAGATTCACACTGTCCAGTCGGGGTGGCTCAGTGGTTGAGTGTCAACCCATGGACCAAGAGGTCACCGGTTGGATTCCTGGTCAGGGCACATGCCTGGGTTGTGGGTTCGAGCCTTAACAGGTAATGTGCAGAAGACAGCCAATCAGTGTTTCTCTGTTATCGATGTTTTTCTCCTTCCCACTTCCTATATCTAAAAAAAAATCAATCAATAGATTCATACAGTATTTGTCCTTTTGTGTCTGGCTTATTTCACCTCACATAATGTTGTCGTGATTCATCTACATTGTAGTGTGTATGAGAATTTTATTCTTTTTTTTTTTAAGAATTTTTTTATTGGTTTTTAGAGGGAGAGATAGAGAAACATCCATGTGAGAGCAAAACATCAATTCCGCTGTCTCCTGCACATCCCCTACCCAGGATCAAGCTCAAAAATGGGCATGTGCCATGATCAGAAATGGAACCAACCTTTCGGTGCACTAGGCGTATGCCCAACCAACTGAGCCACACTGGCCAGGGCTTCATTTCTTTTTAGCTGAATAATATTCCATTGTGTATATGTGTCAAGTTTTGTTTATCCATTCATCTACTTATGAATATATGGGTTGTTTCCACATTTTGTCTATTGGAATAATGCTGCTATGAATGTTCATGTACAGTATAATATTTGAATCCCTGTTTTCAATTCTTTGGGGTATGTACACCTATGAGTGAAATTACTTGGTCATGTTAAATTTTGGGGGAATTGACAAACTTTTCCATTGTGGCTGCAGCATTCTATATTCCAACCAGCAAGGTGCAGAAGTACCCATTTTTCTACATCCTCACCAACACATTATTTTCTTTAATTATTATTATTATTGTTATTGTTATTATTATAGCCTTCCTAGTAGGTGTGAAGTAGCATATCGTGATCTTGATTTGCATTTAATTAATATTCATGGTGTTAAGCATCTATTCATATGCTTATTAGCCAGTTGTGCCAGCATCGTTTATTCTTTCTTCCATTGAACTATTTTGCACCCTTGTTGAAAATCAACTGACCATAAATGTAGAAGCTTATTTCTGAACTCTATGCCAGTACCACACTGTCCTAATTACTGTAGCTTTGTAGTTTTAAAATTGAGAAGTGTTCTTTTTCAAGCCTGTTTTGGCTATTCTACATTTTCTCTTGCATTCTCTTGCATTTTCATATGAATTTTAGGATCAGCTTATCAATTTCTGCGAAGAAGCAAGCTGGGAATTTAATGGGGATTGTGGCGGTAGATCAATTTGGTGAGCATAGCCATTTTAACAAAATTAGGTCTTCCAATCCATGAATATGGGATGTCTTTTTCATTTATTTAGGGCTTCTTTACTTTCTTTAAATAATGTTTTATAGTTTTCAGAGTATCAATTTTACATTTCTTTTGAAAAATTTATTCCTAAGGATTATATTCTTTCTGATGCTATTGTAATTATGTCTTTAAATTTTCATTTTTAGATCATCCTTTGCAAATGTATAGAAATACAATTGATTTTTGTATATTGATCTCACATCTTATAACCTTGCTGAACTCATTCTAATAAATTTTTAGAAAATGCTCAATATTTTCTTTACTCAGGATTCCGCCGTCTGCAAATAGAGAGAGTTTTACGTCTTCCTTTCCTATCTGGTTGCCTTTATTTCATTTTCTTCCCTGAGCATCCTGGCTACTTCCAGCACAAAGTGAATAGAAGTGGTGAAAACAGACATTGTCTGCTCCTTATCTTAGGGAGAAAGCATCCAGTTTTCCATCATTAAGTGTAATGTTAGTTGTGAGGTTATTGTACTTGCCCCCTTTCAGGCTAAGGAAGTTTCCTTCGTTTCCTACTGCTCCCTAAACCCAAATTGGTGAGAGTTAAGAGTTAGTGCTGAAATTTGCCTCCTGTACTCCTATCCCCGGTAGAAGCACTGCCTGGAAAACAACCACACAGGGAAATGGGGGCCAGTGTAGATCCTCGTGGTGTCTGATATCAGCCAGGCCTTCAGTACCACTCAGATACCATACTTGCCCTTGGTCAGCTCCTCTCCTAACCCTCTAAACAACCATTCTCTTCGTCATCCAATAAATATTAAAGAATAACAGGAACTACTTTTGTCCTATCAAATTGGCAGATTAAGAAGATGCCTTGATTGCTTCTCAGCCTTTTGGCTAAGATCAAGTGTAGTATCTGTTCTTATCAGTTTAATATCTGATACGTCCTCTATCCAAAGACAATACATTAAATGGATTTTTGGAGCAGGGAGATGAAATAGGAGCTTGCTCTGTCCACTACAAAAAAAAGAATATGCACTGATATCAAAGATTGAGTAAGATAATAGCATGACCTTAGGCACTTTGCTTAATCTTTTAAAACTCTGTATTTATTGATTGATTTAAGAGTGGGTGGGGAGGTGGGAAGTGAGAGAGAGGCATCGATTTGTTGTCCTACTTATTTATGCATTCATTGGTTGCTCTTGTATGTGCCCTGACTGGAAATCAAACCCACAGCCTTGCATATCCAAACCACACTCTAGGTCTAGGACAACACTCTAACCCACTGAGTTACCTGGCCTGGGCAAGTTGCTTAATCTTTCTGAGGGTCTGAATCATCTTAAAATGCACTTAACCAGTATCTGATAATAAATAACCATTACTACCAGTAGAAAAAAAAAAACAAAAATAACCCAGATCTCCAATAATAACAGAACTGTCACAAATATTATGATAAACTCAAAAATTACTTTTTATGAAACCATTAACAATCATGGTTTTTAAATACAGTGATACCTCGGTTCTCGAACATAATTCGTTCCAGGAAGACGGTCGAGAACCAAATTGTTCGAGAACCGAAGCAATGAAACAATAGGAAATAATGGAAACTGGATTAATTCGTTCCAAGCCCCAGAAAATGCCTATTTACTGGCCTAATTTGTATATAATATGTAGAAAAACATAAGTCTCAACAAGAAATAAAAGTGTACAGTATGTCTAAGGGTTAAATTCAGTGTAAAGCGTGACTCTCTCCACAAAGCGTGACTCTCTCTCTGCACTCACACTGATGACGCGAGCAAGGCGCGCTGGGCCGAATGAACGCCATTCGGCTCAACTCGGCTCATCTCGGAAGTTCGAGTTCCAAATATTTGTTCGGATTCCAAGACAAAAGTTTCTCGAATCTCCTGGTCGAATACCGATTTGGTCGAAATTCGAGGCGTTCGAGAACCGAGGTATCACTGTAATATTTAAATAAGTTAGGAAAACAGTTCCTATATTTTACCTTTGAGCTCCATGCCCATATTTCCAACTTCCTCCCTGACATCTCCACTTGACTCTCGCAGGCATCCTACACACATAGACCAGAAGCAAATTCGTTTTCTGTGCCCCACCCGATCAAATCTGCTGCTCCACACCAGCAATTTTCAACCGGTGTGCCACAAGAATTTTTTACAACATGCAATACCTGAATATTTAGTCAGGGGTACTGACCTCTTTTCCTTTAAACTGTCAAATAAGAAAATAACAACAGCCTAGCTGGTGTGGCTCAGTGGTTGAGCATCAACCTACACACCAAGAAGTCTCCAGTTTGATTCCCAGTCAAGGCACATGCCCAGGTTGTGGGCCTGATCCCCAGTGCGGGGCATGCAGGAGGCGGCCAATCAAATGTTCTCTCATTGATGTTTCTATCCCTCTCTACCTGTCCCTTCTTTGCTCTCTAAAATCAAGTTTTTAAAAAAATGACAACAGCCAATACAATAGCCATCTAGTAGGAATGAATCAAAATGATCTTATTTTTTGGTCAGATCAGCAAAAAAACATATTTTCGGTGTGCCACAGAATTTTAGTAATTAGTTTATGTGTGCCATTAGATGAAAAAGGTTGAAAATCACTGCTCCACACCTTCCTCACCATCACCCCTCCCCCACATATGCAATCCATCTCCAAATCCTGTTGGTATTACTTCCTAAATTTATCTGAAGTCCCACCACTTCCCTTCATTCTCACTGTCCCTGTGCTAATCCTACTTGGACTACTGTAACAGTGTCCTAATTGATTAACTCCTAAATCCTCACCCAAGGATAGATTCAGTACCCTACAACCAGATTTATCTTCAAAAATTTCCAACTCGGAGCCCTGGCTGGGTGGCTCAGTTAGTTGGAGTGTCGCCCCATACACCAAAAGGTTACGGGTTTGTTTGATTCCTGGTCAGAACACATACCTAGGTTGCAGGTAGTGTATGGGAGGCAACCGACTGATGTTTCTCTCTCAGATCAATAAAAACATATCCTTGAGTGAGGATTTAAAAAAATTTCCAAGTATATCTTTTCCCTACTTAAAGGCTTTTTTTTTTAATCCTCATCCGAGGACACCCTTCCACCCCTTGCACAGACAGAGTGGGAGGGAGAGAGAGGAAGAGAGAGAGAGGGAAACATCGATGTGAAAGGGACACATCGAGTGGCTGCCACCCGCACGACCAACCAGGGCCAAGGACAAACTGCAACCGAGGCACGTGCCCCTAGCGGGAACCGAACCCGGGTCTCTCCAGACCGCAGGCGGACGCTCCAACCGCTGAGCCAAACCGGCCAGGGCCCTACTTAAAGCTTTGATGGCTTCTCATTACTATTAAGATAAAACATAAAACACTGGGCATGGCTCACAAACTAGGATTTGGACCCGTCTTTCCTTTCCTGACTAGTAATGTGGACACAAGGTCAGGCTTGATATTTGCCTTTCCCTTCCCTACACAAACGCCTACTAAACCACTCCCCTCCCCTCTCTTGCCCTCCCCTCCCCTCTCCTTTCCCTTCCTCTCTCTCTAAAATCAATAAAGGAAAACTATTTTTTTAATTAATTTTTTTATTACAGATGTCCCTCCTTTCCCCATCATTGACACCCTCCTCCCCACTCCTGCCCCTCCCCCTTCACTGTACTGTAGTCTGTGTCCACTGGTTGTGTATATATGCTTATAAGTTCTTTGGTTTCTTTTCCTACCCCTCTCACTCCCCTTCCCTCTAAGATTTGTCAGTCTGTTCCCTTCTTCCATGTCTCTAGATCTATTTTATCAGTTTATTTTGTTCATTATATTCCACAAATAAGTGAGAGCATGTGATATTTGTCTTTTCTCTGCTCAGCTTGTTTCGCTTAGGATAATACTCTCCAGGTCCCTCCATGTTGTCTCAAAGAGTAAGAGAGCTTTCTTATAGCTGCATAGTATTCCATTGTGTACATGTACCACAGTTTTTTTTATCCACTCATCTATTGATGGACACTTGGGTTGTTTCCAGACCTTAGTTATTGTACATAGTGCTGCTATGAACATAGGAGTGCATATATTATTTCCGATTGGTGTTTCAGGCTTCTTAGGATATATTCCTAGAAGTGCAATCACTGGGTCAAATGGCAGTTCAATTTTTAATATTTTGAGGAAACACCATATTGTTTTCCATAGTGGCTGCACCAGTCTGCATTCCCACCAGCAGTGTACCAGAGTCCCCTTCTCTCCACACCCTCACCAGCACTGGTTGTTTGATGATTTGTTGATGGCGGCCATTCTGGCAGCTGTGAGGCGATACCTCATTGTCATTTTAAGTTGCATCTCTCTTATGATCAGTGACGTTGAGCATTTTTTCATATGTGTCTTGGCCATTTGTATGTCCTATCTGGAGAAGTGTCTATTCAGGTCCTCTGCCCATTTTGGGGTTTTTAAAAAAATATTTTTTTTCTTTATTGATTTTTGAGAGAGAGGGAGAGGGAGAGGGAGTGAGAAACATCAATGAGAGAGGACATCGATTGGCTGCCTCCTGTATGTCCCCCACTGGGAATCAGGCCCAAACATGCCAAAAATATTTATGGCATGTGTCCTGACTGGGAATTGAACCAGGGACCTTTTGGTGCATAGGTGGATGCTCAACCACTGAGCCACAATGGCCAGGCCCTCTGACCATTTTTTAATTGGATTGTTTGTTTCCATTTGTTCAGTTGTATGAGTACTCCATATGTTTTGGAAATTAACCGTTATCTGATAATATATCATTGGCAAATGATATATATTCTCCCAGAGAGTGGGTTCCCTTTTCATTTTGATGCTGGTTTCTTTTGCTGTGCAGAAGCTTTCTAAATTGATGTAGTCCCATTTATTTTTTCCTTTGTTTCTCTTGTCCTAGGTGATATACCAGTAAAAATTCTGCTACATGTGATGTCTAAGATTTTGCTGCCTACATTTTCTTCTAGGATTGTTATGTAAACCACATTCCTTTAATGTTAATCAAATATTTATGGCACTTGGAGATAATTTTCTTTTTTTTTTTATCCTCACTTGAGGACATTTTTGCATTTATCTTCAGACAGAGTGGGAGAGGGAGAGAGCGAGGAGAGAGAGAGAGAAACATCAATGGGAGAGAGACACATCAACTGGTTGCCACCCACAGGGCCCAAACCGGGGCTGGGGACAAACTGCAACCAAGGTACTTGCCCTCAGTGGAAACCGAACCGGGACTCTCTGGTCCGCGGGCCGATGCTCCAACCACTGAGCCAAACCAGCCAGGGCTGGAGATAATTTTCTTTTAGATACAGATTCATTTACCAATTCACTTCCTTTTGCCAAAGCAGAGTCACGGTTCTGAAATAATTCGGTAAAAGATTTCTCACTTCTCTCAGAACCTTATTCTCTCCTCAGTAATGAGGGTGTGTGTAAGAGAGATTTTCTTACAACAGAGAAACATTGAGAAGCATATTAAAGAGTTTTTAAATAACAGACTATATTTATATCTCGTACAGTCTTCAGAATTTCAACTAATTAGAACTGCATGCAATAACCCAAACATTGCCCTCAACACACTACACAGGAGTGTCATTGTCCTTGGCAGCTGTATTCCTTTTTGGTAGAATTACACTTCGGTCTGAGTTAACTGGCATACTTTCTGTCCCATAGAGATTTATGGTCTGGACAACTCCCACGTCATTTACTCCTTAATGTGACTCTCCCCGGCCATTCTCCTTGTTCTCTGTTATCTGACAATCCTATCCTCATCTTTAGGCTTACACAAAATACCAGGTCGCCACATGCCTCCAGACCTTTGCACATCCTGTACACTCAGCCGGGAAAGCTTATTATCCTTCTCCCTTCAACCTCACCTGGAAAATACCTATACTGTTTGGTCCTCAGCTCAAAGGTCCTTTCTCAACAAAGTTCACAGTTTCTGTACTTTATTTCTTTGAACACACCCACACTGTAAATATTTGAATAATATTTGTGAGTCCTGCTGGATTACATGTTCCATTGACTTAGGGCCTATGGTTATTTAAAATCACCCAGCTTCACCCTGGCCGGTTTGGCTCAGCGGTTAGAGCATCGGCCTGCAGGTCTGGAAAGACCCAGGGTTCGGTTCCTGCTAAGGGCACGTGCCTCGGTTGCAGTTTGTCCCCGGCCCTGGTTGGTTGTGTGGGTGGCAGCCACTAGATGTGCCCCTTTCACCTCGATGTTTCTCTCTCTCTTCCTCTCTCTCCCTCCCACTCTGTCTGAACAAAAAAAAAATGGAAAAAAAAAAAATCACCTAGCTGGCCAACGTTTACAAAATGATTTCAAGCAACAAATAATGTATAAACATAACAGATAATAGAAGCAGTGGGATACAAAACTATTTACCCAATGATTCTAACTTGGGAGAAAATGACTATGCATAGAAAAAAAGTCAATAAAATACATTTAAGAAGGGGGAAATAAGTACATTTGTATTTGTGTTTTTTAAACACACACCAAATAGAAACACAATAAACTACTGCAAGTGGTACCCTGTGGAGGGGTAGTTTTCTAATGTATACTTTAAAAAATATATATCCCGTTTTGATTTTTTGAATCATTAGAATGTGTTACCTATAAAAAATATTAAATGTTTGCAAGACAGAAAACACACTAAAACATTCATAGTGATTATCTCGGAATTGTGGGGCAAAGATTTTTGTCTTCTACTTCTACCCACTCGCTCCATTTCCTGCAGTTTCTATGAATAGCTTTTGTGATCAGGAAAGGACATACTCGTCAGGAAAGACCTTTGGTAACTTCCAGGGCAGCTCCCTGGAGTCGGGAGAGAGGCAGCCGCGATGCGAAGGCTCCCGCTACAAAGGTGACGGAACGGGTTCTGCCCCGTGGGAGAGACCAGAGCACAGCTCGTCCGTGTGCTGCGGTGAAGGAACCACGAGACCGGAGAAGTTACACAGGCCAGCAGGGGATGGGGCGAAGAGGCGCCCGGCCCGCGACGTCCCTCCAGCGGACCGTCCACAGGCCAGGGGACTCCTGCTCAGCCAGCATCGTCCCGGAAGTACAATGGGGAAGAAGGAAACGGGGAGCGACAGTCTGCTGCGGCTGAGATGGAGCAAAGAAATCAGAAAAAGGTGGACGCGACTTTCCTACGGGACCGTAACAGCCGGAAGAAAGTGCTGGGACCACGCACCTCCCCCGCCTCCCCAACCCCGCCCCTCGGGCTGGCGGAGCTGCCGGAGACGCACGCAGGAAGGGGCGGGGCAATGAGTACTGAGCCCGTGCGCGATCTCGCGAGATCAGTAGAGCGCGGAAGCACAGTCTGCAAGATGCGGTGCCTGGTTGCGTTGGTTCTACTGACTGCCCTAGCGGCGGGTAAGATCCCCACCCCCACCCTGCCCCCCCAAAAAAATCCCACTCTCGTCCCCCAGACCCATCATCCTCACCGTAGCCGGTCGCCGTCTGAGCTTCCTTCGTCCCTGCCCGTCCCACCCCTCCCCTCGCTATCACCCCCACTACACCGTTTGCCGGTTGCCCCAGTCTCTCCTAGCTCTGAGGAGTCCTTTATCTCGGCCTTTCCTCTCTTCAGGGCCAACTGGTTTCTCTCGTTCAGAAGCTTCGCAGTCCACTTCTCTATTGGCAGCCGGCGAAACCCAGCCTGTCAGTCCGGAGAAAGTCCCTAAGCAGCCCTCCCAGAGTCTCACATCTAAGACCGTGGAAAGCAACTCGGTTACGTCGGGCCAGCAGCACCAGTCCACAGAAGACAGTTCTAGCAAATCAGATAAGAAGCCCGCCTCCGTGGAAGATGCATCTGAAAAGTCGAATGAGGAGCCCCCATCCACGAAAGATACTTCTGACAAGTCGGATAAGGAGCCCCCGTCCACGGAAGATAATTCTGACAAGTCACATAAGGAGCCCGCGTCCACGGAAGATAAATCTGACAAGTCACATAAGGAGCCCCCGTCCACAAAAGACACTTCTGACAAGTCGCATAAGGAGCCCCCGTCCACGGAAGATACTTCTGACAAGTCACATAAGGAGCCCGCGTCCACGGAAGATAAATCTGACAAGTCACATAAGGAGCCCCCGTCCACAAACGATACTTCTGACAAGTCACGTAAGGAGCCCCCATCCACGAAAGATACTTCTGACAAGTCGGATAAGGAGCTCCCGTCCACGGAAGATACTTCTGACAAGTCACATAAGGAGCCCCCGTCCACGAAAGATACTTCTGACAAGTCGGATAAGGAGCCCCCGTCCACGGAAGATACTTCTGACAAGTCACATAAGGAGCCCCCGTCCACGAAAGATACTTCTGACAAGTCGGATAAGGAGCCCCCGTCCACGGAAGATACTTCTGACAAGTCACATAAGGAGCCCCCGTCCACAAAAGATACTTCTGACAAGTCACATAAGGAGCCCCCGTCCACGAAAGATACTTCTGACAAGTCACATAAGGAGCCCCCATCCATGAAAGATACCTCTGACAAGTCGGATAAGGAGCCCCCGTCCACAGAAGATACCTCTGACAAGTCGGATAAGGAGCCCCCGTCCATGAAAGATACTTCTGACAAGTCACATAAGGAGCCCCCATCCACGAAAGATACTTCTGACGTGTCAAATAAGGATCACCTCTCTATGAAAGATGCTTCTGACAAGTCAGATTGGGAGCATGGGTCCACAAAAGACCATTCTGAACCTGAAGAGGGTTCTCCACTTAAAGAAGAAAAAGATATGCCTGGTCCTGACTCTAGAGAGAGTCCTGAAGAGACACTTTTTGACTCCATAAAGAGGAAGAACCTTTTTAAGGACAATCCTGGAAGTGTCAGGGCAGAAAGCAGCCACTTCTTTGCATATTTGGTGACTGCAGCCATTCTTGTTGCTGTCCTCTACATTGCCTATCACAACAAACGGAAGGTAAGTCAACTTACCTTAAGAAGAGGGATGAGATGTCTTCCACCCTGCAAGCTTGGTGTATGGGCCATTATTCATCACTTATCTGCTTGTAAGACATGTCAGTTTTTTTCAGATCTTGCTAGGGCTGTACTCTTGTTTTATAAATCACTTGTTTTTGTGTCTTTTTTTTCTCTGAGTGCTCTCTGCTGCTGCATTAGGTGCCAAGTTAGGACGTTATTACAATCTGACCTGAATGGGTGTCTCCTTCTATAATCTTGAACTTAGATCCTTCACAGCCTCGAGACACAAATACCTTCCTGTTTCCACTTTCAAGACAGTGCACCATTTCTAGCTTCCTTTGCTAAGTTTTGTCTGCCACCTGCAGTGTTAGAAAGAATGTTTATGTCGTCTTTGACATCAACAGCAGAGAGCCCAGGGACTATCTTCTGCAGTCAGTTAAATTTCTGATTAGAAGAAAGACCAGAAATTGCATGGGTATACTTATCTTTTACTTTAGCAAGGTTTGGTCTGAAGTAATATCTGTGTCACTTTGCAATCATTCCAATGACAAAATGATTGCATTTCTTATTGAACTCTAAGAAATGAGTAGTTTCTGTAGCCTGGTCAAAATTGGAGAGGTCACTTCATAATGACTATAGGCCTGTGGCTATAAGGAATGAGGGAAGGCATTTAGTTAAAATTGTGCGTTCCTTATTCTGCACCTACCATCATGGAGAGTAACCTTAAGCATGAAATGAGAGTGGTAAGGTTAAGAAGACACAAAATGTGGGGTGAGAGTGCATTTGCAGAAGAGAATAATTGCTTATGATTTTTTTTTTAAAAAGAAAAATGTCTTAGCCTGGAATTCTCCAGAGAAGAGTTTTCAGATCTTTGACCAAGTACTCTTGAGTAAATTAACAGACTCCCACATGCTAGAGACCAGAACAGCCTTCCTCCCTCTGCCATTTCCTATTTAACAGTATACAGGATTCTGATGAAACAGCCCTGTCCTCCTTAAAATTGTTATGATTTAAATAGGCCTTTTTATGGGTGTACTGCTCTTTTTGCTGTCAGGGTTATTAACAAATGTACTACCAGGTGATTACCTCTGATTTCAGAGACTGAAATATGTCATTATAGAATCACTTGTTAATCATTTTCTTTCTCCTTTCCCCAGATTATTGCTTTTGCCCTGGAAGGAAAAAAATCCAAATTTAGTCGGCGGCCGAAGGCCAGTGACTACCAGCGTTTGGACCAGAAGGTAAGGAAGGAAGACCCAGATCCATAGGAGGGCTATACAGTCTCACCTGGGCCCAGCAGTGGACTTGCATTTAGCATGGAAGCAGTAGCTGGTTCTGGGGGTGCTGCTACCATCTCCCCTGTCCTTTTCAGACCACAAAGTAGACACATCATGTATACATGTCTATAGTGTTAGAGCTGAAGAGACCTTTAAGTCATTTATAACAGCTCCCTCCTTTGACAGATGAGGAAACTCAAGACCAGAAATCATTGTTTTTTCCCCCTTAAATCCCCACCTCAAGTTCGTGTCAAAATCAATACCTGATGGTAACTCCATTACTCTCCCATCCTGTGACTTTTGTACTAGACCAGCACTTCACAAATTTTCATAGGCATTGTGATAGAAAGCAAAATGTGATTCACTAGCTATGGAGTGGAGCCTGTGCTTCTGCATCTAGGAGGTTCCCAAGTGACGCCAAATGCTGCTGGAACCACACTTTCGGGAGCAAAGCACTACACTCCCTGAAAAGAAACAAGTCCAGAAACAGGCCTCCAACTTCCCAGAGCAGCCCTGCTAAGCATTGTCAGCTAGATTTCCTGAGTGCAGCCAACACTTGCCTCTGCTGGAAAGCAAAGCCCTCCTCCTGCCCACAGCAGCAGATGCTGAGATTCTCCCCAAAGGCAGCCTGTGTCAGCGCATTGTCCTCCCACTGCCTTGCTGCCAGCACGCACCCTTCCCCTTCCGTGTAGCAAGAGCATTGGTGAAGAGTTGCTGGTGACCCAACTGTGAGTTGTTCCCAGACTCCCTACAGGGAATACTGTTCATGTGTACAGCTCGTACCAGTTCTAGAAAAACCGCTCAGCTCAGAGCATCTTTACTGACTGGCCCAGTAGGTCAGCTTCACATTATAGTCCTGGCCAAGTACCTTTCCAGATACTTGATTTTTAAGGATTGTCATCCTCGTTCATTATAATCTTTTTCTGATTTAAAAAAAAATGCACTTGTAAACAATTCAAAACAATAGAGTGGTACAAAGCAGAAGCCAAGATCCCCATACTCCCTCCACTAGGCATGTATCTCTATAGTGTATGTTTTATATCATACTGAATTTTTAAATAATTCTGTATGCTTTTATTTTATCAATTGCTGTTTGTATGATTGGGGGGGGGGTCAGTTTGTCTTAATTCTGGAATTTTTTCTTTGAGCTACAACTCCTATAAGATCTTTGTTCCCCCCAAAATCATAGCAGTAAGGTATAGTCCTCTGGGAAGAAGACGAGCGTTACCAATGCATTGTATTACTCTTGTTTCAGATTTGATTTTTCTGTTTTTGAGAACTTCGTCTTCCCTGCTGATTTGTTTCTAAATCAAGAGAAATGAAGAGAAAAGTACTGTGAACCAAGAGTTACCCTCTAGGGTTTGGTGGCAAGTCCGGGCTGGCAGAGGTGGGGCGGGGGTGGCATTGCTTTGATTTTTGCACCTGCACTTTGGTGACCTTGTACTCTTTTGTTCCTATTATTCACTCCCTCTGAGTGTGGGTAGAAGGAGCGAGCATGTGGAAACCCAGCTTTGACCAAAGGGAGATCCCAGCTCCAGGCAGGCTAGTGCTATTGACCATCCTGCCTTGGGCCTTGGCTCTGTGGTGAAGTTACCCCTTGAAATAGCATTGCACTTGCCACTACTCATCTTTGCAGACCTAGGAGAGAACTCAGCAGCTTGAGGTACTTTTCTACCAGGGCCTCTTTGGGGGAATGTGCCCTACAAGAGATAGACAGGGTGAATGCTGATGGGCAAAGGGCTACATTGAACACGTAACTTCTATTCAAAGGCTTCAGCAGCAAACCATACCAGCAGCTTAAAAAAAGTGCTTTACTGCCTGCAAGTTCAACCTGTTTAGCATAACTTCCTCATGTTTTCCTCATATTTTCATATTACTTCAGGCAAAGTGAATCAACTTTCATTTGGTTGTACTGAGCATAAAACTGAACTTGAGGATTCTGGGAGTAAAGCTATAAAGCCACTGTTCCCATCACAGGTTTTAAAAAATATAGTTATGATTACTGAAATGCTGTTCTTCCTTACAATCTTAACAGGAGCTTTTTGAAATAGGGTAAGTTCATGCTTTGTGCAAGAAAACACGTAAGAGAGTTTTGGTTTGGGTCTGCATTTTTCTCAAAGGCCTTTTATGAAATAGGTTCCCCCAAACTCCACTTTGCCTTTGTTGCCTAAAACAGACAAAATAGACCTATTTAGAAACTAACCATAATCTTTCTTTTACCTTAATCTAATTATAAAATGCTAAGGGTAGTTAGTAAAAATTCTTCTATCCCGTGGGAGAGGTTATTAAATTTTAAGAAATTCACAGAGTTCCCCTAGGGTAACTGAGGGTAGTGTCTTGGAACATGCTGTTTGAAGTTTTATGTGAATCTATTCTAGTCATACTGTCCTATTACTGAGAGCCTAAAAAGAGTTATTTCTGCAAAGGAAAAACAAATAGAATAACCGATCTCAATACAAGGAATGGTGGGACATGAGGGGAATATGATAAATTCTGTGCTGTTGAAGAAGTAAGTCTGAAGAAGGGACCATCGTGTTTGTCCTACTATCTTCCACCTTGCTTAAAACAGTTCGTGGCTTTGAGTTGAGATTTTCATTCATTGCAGGTACCTATTTGTGGAGATCAAGAATGAATGAATGCTCTTCTTGGCATCATTCTCTCTACTTGTGCACCAGCCTTGTACTTTCCTATTCTGTCAGGCTCCCCTAGCTTCCCTAAAACCATGGTTATTGTATTCCCTTTTCTGTCTCCCCCGTCCCTTCCTTTCCTCCTCCTCTGCCTATTTACACGAGCACTTTTCCTCCAACCTTCGTGCTTACACAAATCTTCACCCCCACATCATTCAACTTCTCCAGTAAGTGTTGCTTCCATTACTTTGCTATTCATTCTCTTCATAACCTTTATAAGCTCACTTTGGTCCCTGTCTTTCTACTGAGTGTTTTTCCATAGGTTCAGTTCACCAAATCCAAAGGCTTGTTCTCAAAATTTAGTCTTAACCTTGATAGAATTGGACACTATTGACCATCCAAATAGAAATTCCCCTTTTTTGGTTTCTCTGACAAATTCCTGATGTCAAGAACTCCTTTTCTTTTTTAAGATAGAGTGGGACGGGAGGAGAGAGAGAGAGAAAGAAACATCGATGTGAGAGAGACACTGACTGGTTGCCTCCCGCACAACCCCGACCAGGGCTGAGACCAAACCCACAAACGAGGTACGTGCCCTTGTACGGGAATCGAACCCAAGACTCTTTGGTTCTTCTACCCATTAAGCTGCCCCTCTCAACTGCCCAATATATTTTTAATCCTCTCAACTCCAAACTACAATCTTCCCATTTTCCTTGCTTCCCTGCCCCACACCCTCTCCCATTCACCTCTCCCCAGATTTGTTTCTCAGGAACCACCTTAATTGATTCTCCTGTCCATCTTCTCTTGTGTACATAGAGACCAGGTTGATCTTTCTAAAATACTTGCCCTGATCCGAAGCCTCTGTTTGTGTTCCTCATGGCTCAGAGAATCAAGTTTATAGGCTCTTTAGTATCAGGACTCTACAGATGGCCTGTTTCCTGCCTTTCTCTGCATCCTGGCCAGGCCAAAGGCCCCTTTTGTTGGGCGCCCATGTAGGCCTCTGTGCTTTTTTGTTCTTGCTGTAACCTCCATTCCCTGGCTTCCTACGGTGGTTCTTTGGTTAGATTGCTCTCCCTTCTCTTTTCACTTACCTCCCCAAACTTTGTTTCCTCAGGGCCCAGCTCAGGTTTTCCCATGGACCTTCCTACCTTCCCCAACCCTGAAATTGGCTCTTCCCCTTCTACTTTAATAGCTGTTAATAATGTCAGTCACAGATTCGGAAACTTCAGGAAAACAGGGCAGTCAGTATCTGATGTCTCTGGTCTCCTCAAGAAAACCAAGTGACTTGTGGGAGGGCCATCTGCCTAGCATAGTGACATACCTTAGGTACTTCAAGAGTTTCGTTTCTTCTTGCACAGAGGACGTTTTCTTGGGTCAGGACATCTGGATGTGACTGCACTGCGGTCTCACACAGTTTGTTCTAGCTATTGGCTGCTATTCCTGATTGATAGATTTCACTTAAAAGGAGAAGAGCAGCCCTGGCCAGTTTGGCTCAGCAGAGAGTGTCGACCTGCGGTCCAAAGAGACCTGGGTTCAGTTCCCGCTAAGGGCACGTACTAGGTTGGTTTGTCCCCGGCCCTGGTTGGGTTGTGCAGGTAGCAGCCGCTTGATGTGTCCCTTTCACGTCGATGTTTCTCTCTCTCTCTCCCTCCCATTCTATCTGAACAAAAAATGGAAAAATGTCCTCAGGTGAGGATTAAATAAATAAATAAATAGGAGGAGAGCAGAAAGAAGGGTTGGTTTCAAGAACCACGATCGGTATTGCGGCATCCACACAGTTCCACTTTCTGAGCCTCTGAGAAATATCGTTTCCTGTGGTGGAGGAGTACCGTAGAATTTAAGTTTCCCTTTAGAAATTGCACTGAAGGAAATCTTGCACCAAAGGAAAACTAGTTTTCTGGGTAGTTGTCTTTTTCTTTCTTTTTTTTTCTTTTCCAGATAGAGTGGGAGAGAGAGAGAGAGAGAGAGAGAGAGAGAGAGAGAGAGAAACACCAATATGAGAGAGACATATCGACTGTTTGCCTCCCACACGACCCAACCAGGGCCAGGATGAACCACAACCAAGGCATTTGCCCTTGACCGGAATTGAACCCGGGACTCATTGGTCCGCGGACCAACAGTCCAACCGCTGAGCCAAACTGGCCAGGGCGGTAGTTGTCTTTTTAAAGATTATTTGTAGCATGCTTTCCTAGAGATTGTGTGGATGAGGGTGAGCTGGCTGAGGTGTCTCTCAAGCCAGGGGTGGGGTGGGGAACAGGCAGTGAACTACAGGGAGCCAAGAGAAGCACCCCTCTCTAGACAGCCTGTGTTTTCTTCCTGCCCCCCGCTTTTGATTGAAGGGCGAGTTCTATTAGGAGGAATCTGTGCTTTAGTGATGGATGTTAATATAGGAGCTTGTCTTCCTGCTAGACCACGGAGTAGAATATTTAAAGAGTCCATTCTGGACTCTGGGACAATGGAGGGCCAGTCTTTCTTTTTTGATCTTTAGAGAGAGAGGAAGGGCAAGATAGTGTGACAAATACGGATTTGTTGTTCCACTTATTTATGCATCCACTGGTTGATTCTTGTATGTGCCCAGACTGAGGATCAAACCCGCAACCTTAGTGTATGGAGACAATGCCCTAACCAACTGAGCTACCCGGCCAGCACAGTGGAAGGCCAGTCTCATTTGAAAAGGCTAAGGCAACTTGAAACAACCTGACAGTTAGTTACATATAATTTGACATTTCTTTTCCCATGATGGCTTTTAATGAAATATTTGGTGGTAGAATTCTAAACCTCTAAAATTCTCATTTTGTTCTCCAAGTCAAGGAAGCAAGCCCCGTGTTTCCACAGGGTAACTTGATGCAGTGCTACCTGGGTGATGAGAGCTAGCGTGCTGTGCACGTCGAATCGTTTGAACAGGGAGCAGTGTGCTGTATACCAGCCCTTGTGGTTCTGAAAAATCTTGCTGGGAAGGTTGTGTTTGGCATGACTTGGCTTAAGTAAGGATCCTGGGAAGAAATGTTCAGGTTTAATTTAACTATATCCAGAGCCAAGACGGAATCTCAACTGAGCTAGTTCCACAAGCTACATGTGAATTTCCTAAATATCCCAGGTTAGAAACTCCTCCGTTCAAGGGTTGAGTCTGAACTGTGTCGTTTTAAGCTGCCAGCAAAGCCAGCCTCCTCACACTGATAAATAAAACATCTGATAGCTATTCCTTTCAGAAATCTACTGTGTTAAATGATTATTGACATTGTTCCCCTTCGTTTTGGTTTACCCAATTAGTAGATTGCCACTGTTTTGCAGTTTTATATTTTCAGGTTTTGTAACTTAACTGTAATTTTTTTAAAGCTTATTTGGTCTAATGATAAGTATTTTTCAGTACCTAATGTTTTACTGAGCTTCTATGAATGCCACTTGATGTAATTTTGTATTGTTGCACAGAAACTGAAATAAATTTCAAATATTAAAACTATAAAATCATTACATTTATTAATACTGAATTAAAATGGACTGAAATGAGGCAAGTGAAAGGTCTTTTATTGATTTTAGAGAGAGAGGAAGGGAGAGGGAGAGACAGAAACATCAATGAGAGAGAACATCGATTAGCCGCCTCCTGCATGCCCTCACTGGGGATTGGGCCTACAACCCGGGCATGTGTCCTGACTGGGAATCGAACCGGCGACCTCTTGGTGCATGGGTCGATGCTCAACCACTGAGCCACACCGGCCGGGCCATTTTTAACCTTTAGTCTTCATTCACCTTCCCATCCAGTCTCCAGTAAACGGGAAACACCATTCTGGGCTTTGTACACATTCTATAGCTTCCTTGTGATCGTGACTGATTTCCAACCTTACTCCTCCTCCCCACCAGGCAGCTCACGTTTAGGCCCAGGAGGTAGCTGGGCCCTTTGTCATTATTCATTGTTACCTCTCAGTGCTTGTCCCCTGCTGTACCCTTGGCCTGGAATGCCCTTGCAGCCTCCTTCAACCCAGTGAAGTCACCTTCCCAGTCCTGTGTCCTGACTACTAACGTCACCCTTTGCTGTGTGTCTTTGAAATGTAAGCCTTGAGCTCAGGTACTAAATAAACTCCATGAAGGTGTGTCTTGGTGCTGGCACACTGAGAACTCAATTATAAGGAAGACCAACCTAGGGCCATGGCTGCATGCAATTGGATATTATCTTCTAACACACACCTTGCTAACTAATGTCTTTTCATGACCTCCAGCCCCCACAATCACATTGAGCCTGTCACAGGCATGTCTCCACTTCCTGAAAGAGCCATCGGAACCAGCAAACAATGGGATCCAGAGGTCTCTGAACCTATGAAATTATAACCAAAACCATGCCCGGGTTGTGACTGAAACCTCATTGGGCATCCTTTAACTTCGTCAGGCCCCCTTCTTCCTTAACAGGGTGGACTGCAGCACAGCACTTCGAGTGACAGAGAGGCTCGGAACAGCTGGACAAACATTTCCCGGACTACCCGGTTTGATTGTTCGGAGTTAGGAGGTACGGGTGCGGGTGCAGAGCACTGCTTGATGAGACAGTGGGCTCTCCGAATCAGTAGCCCACACCGGGCCTCTAGTAGCTAGCATGTGATAAAAGGTATGGAAGGTCACCCCCTGCCCCAGCTGGAAGAGCTCCAGTTCAGGAACTGAGATCTGTATGAGACCTGTGGGTCAGATCTCCATTTGGAAATCAAAAGCAAAGGAGAGTGCTTCCTGTGAGCAGAAGTTAATGCTAGAAGACATGGCTAAGTCAGGCTGTGCCATAAACTGGCCAAATTCCTCTGACGCACCCCTGACCGAACTACTTCTTCTTCTTCTGGGCCTGGATCCTTGAGCCAAGCTTCATAAGGTCTAAGTATAAGTTCCGCTTCAGGATGGCACTGCTGCACAGAAGGGCCCCCTGCAAGGCCCCCATCAACCCACAGGTAAAGATATCCTGACCTAGGAGACAAGAACAGAGACCCATGACAACTCCCCAAGTGGGGGAGAGGGCGAGGGCTCTTGAGTTCATCCCTCTGTGCTAGGGCCACCCAGAGGTGGCTTCAGATCAGGCCCAGATTCACAGCCTGCCAAAGAGGCCCAGCTAAGGGTGTGGGGGGCTGCAGGGACAGAAGGACCCGAGGATAGGAACAGGCTTGGGTCTCAGCTCCTAGCACAATGGGGCAGTCAGTGTACCTGTCAGGTAGAGGTTGGGGATGGGGCTTTGGGCCCTGATGGAGGCTATCACGTGAGGATGCAGGCGGCCCAGGTCATGGTCAGCCCCATAGCAGGCACCCTGGAAAGCAGCCAGATAGTACTGATTGGTCAGCGGAGATCCTCCAGCCACACTGTCCACCTAAGAGGCAAAAAGGTAGCCACAGGGTGGGAGTGAGACCTTGTGAGATCCCTCATCTCTTCTGCTCTCCTTGAATGAGCTGACAGTCTGTGTGGGCTCCCTGCCTTCCCTGGAGCTCAGTTATCTTGGGGTTTCATTTCCCTGCCCCAAAGAAAAGAAAGAAATGGCACCAAGAGTTCTGTTGCCACCACCACATGGTCTACCTACCTTTCCCTCCAGCTGTGGGAACAGCTTCAGGACAACTGACAGAGAGGCTTCAACAAAGGAGGTTTTGAGGGTCTCGTAGTCGCTGCTCCGCTTTCCTTTTGGCTCCTCCCGCCACTCTTCAAACCACTCATAGGAAGTGGGCACCAGCACGATCACCGTGGACCGGTCTGGGGACACACAGCCAGGGTCACTGCTGCCTGGCGCCTCCCCACCCCCACCCCCACCCCTCCCTGGGACCTCACGCCCCACCTGGGAAGCGGTCCTCCCAAGTCGGGTCCTTAGCTGATGGGGAAGCAATGAAGAGAAGAGGCAAGTGTGCCGCAGCCTCTTCCCTGGGCATGGCCAGGTAGTGCTCCATCCTGAGGGTGAGAGGAGTGTGGCCGCCCAGCCCAGGGCCTTAGTCCTCACAGCCACCAGCACCACCCCAAGGACAGTTCATCCCCAGAAACACCCCCTGAACTCCAGGGATGAAGCTGCTGACTCCCCAGTGTCCAGGGGGAAAGCAGGGGTCCTATGGACTGGGCCCATGCTGACACCCTCCCCCCACACGACACAGCCTTACGCCTTGTCCATGTCTGTGTCGAAATAAACATAGTAGTTGGTGGACTGCAGCTCCAGGTCCTTCTTGGTGCCTCGTAAGCAGATGAAGACAGAGAACATGCTCAAGCCGGGCCGCACCATCCCCAGCTGCTGCTTCACACCTGCCAAAGAGCTGGTGAGCACTGTGCGCACTGGCCAGAGATGGCACCCTGCCAGGGTGGGGTGGGGGGTGGCGGGAGAGCTGCTGCGGCCTGCTCACTGCGTCTGCAGCCTATGCTCACTTGCCAGCCTGGCGCCGGGGCCATTTTTATAGTGTTATTCCAAGTGGGTTGAAATAACAATGAATGGGCAGAGGCCTGCGCTCCTGTCTCCTGCCTGTGAGGACACACCAGCCTCGCTAAGCAGGCTCACGGCGCCTGCAGGACAGTCTCAGGCTAACCGCCTCCAAGCTTCCCCACTTGTCTTTTTTAAAAAATGTATCTTTTTATTGATTTTTAGAGAGTGAAGAAGGGGGGGGGAGAGAGAGAAATATCGAGTGGCTGCCTCCTGTACACCCCCTACTAGGGATTGAGCCCGCAACCCGGGCACATGCCATGACTGGGAATCGAACCAGTGACTACTCGGTGCATGGGACAACGCTCAACCAACTGAGCCACACCAGCAGGGTTTCCCTAATGTCTTTAAGTTAGGAGTGGATGACTGGGCTCCATGCTGTAAAGGCCACAGATATGAACAGTAGTTTGTTAATAAGCCTTCGCTTCAGTATGAACATTAATGTAAGCCACCTAATCAGTGAATATACTCAGTGCACAATGTGAAGTACAAGGCCTCAAAAAGATAAGCAACGCAGACGAACAAATGCAAACCATTCCCGGCACCTGGCGTTTCAGGACTCAGCTGGGAGGAGGGAAGAACAGCACTGCGGAGGGAGGCTTCCCCGCCTCTCAACCAAACACCCCAGACCAGTTTTCCAGAAATTGCTCCTACAAATTCTTATCCTTTGTTCCCATTCCCAGGACCATCCCCGGCACCTGCTTGGGGGGTAACACTGGCTGCTCTGCTTAATTCATTCCGCAGCTATGAGGCCCTGACGTGCTGAATCCGCGGCAGGCCCTGGGGATGCGACAGGAGTCAGCTGCGCTGCCTGTCTCCTGGAGAAGAGACTTCCCTGAAATGAGCTGGACACAGGCTGTGAAGAACTGAGTGCAATGGGTACATCACCATAGAATCTATCGAAAACAGACCACTTTTGAGAGCAAAGGGGAGCATTGTAATGATTACAGAAGGACAACTGGCTTAGGGTTTACAGACACCCAGCCACAAGGAGGAGGGAGTGAGGGCTGCCACAGCCACAGCAAGGAGCAGCTGATCACCCAGGTCCCAGTGCCCAGGGGGAGTCACACTGCTGGCATTCCTTCTCCAGGTGGGGTTGGGTGGGCGCAGAGAGAACCAGGGGCCCAGAAGCGAAACCTCCCAGGTCTTCTGAAGCTCCTTAGAATAGCAACTACCTCCGCCTAGCCCATTTTTCCTTTCCACAGCTAGAAAGCAGAGGTCCAGGAACCACATACCTGGCAGAAAAATATAACCTAGGGTCCCAAACAAGGTACACACCAAGCCTTTCTTCTGCACACCAGCCTTAGCTTCCCTTACTGATATGAGACCAGTCTTTCCCACTCAAAAAATTCCCTCTCCAACCAAACCCAGTCACCTCCTCGCAGCCCAGCAGTGGGATTTAAGAAAGGCACTCCCTTCCACAAGGGTCCCTCTGCCTGACCACCCCACCTCCACCCTCCACCCACCTGGCTCCACCCGGCCCCCAGGCCAGCAGACGCCTGCTTCCCATCTCTGAGAGGTAGACAGAACTATGAAAACTCCCACCCCCAAACAGCTAGAAACAAAGGCGTCCCAGTGTTGGGGTCTCTGAATCAAGCACCATCCCTGCCACTGCCTGAAATGTTCTCCCCCCCCTTTTTATTGAGTTTATTGGGGTGATACTGGTTAACAAAAGTATACATGTTTCGAGTGCACAATTCCACAGCACACCATCCGTACACTGTACTGTGTGTACACTGCCTGAAGTGTTCTCAAACTGGGATTCATCTGGGGCAGCATCAAACTCCCCACCCACGGCAACCGGCCCTTCGGCCATTAGCCTGTTTTCAGGCTGAGCTACCTAAGAGCAGTGAAAGCTTGACCACACAGTGAGGGAAGGCAAGCTGGAGAGGTCACGTGCTGCCTACAGAGAAGGCAGGCCTGGGTGGGACCCGGGACAATGTTAGGGATCAGAGGTCCTGGCGGGGAGGGAGGCTGGAAATACCAAAGGCAAAGTCTGTCGGTCAGTCCACAAAGCCCCCCCCACCGCCTGCACCTGGCAGACAGCCTCTCCCACCTCAGCTTACCGGCTGAGGGAGGAGGCGGTGGGGTTTCAGCAGAACACGTACTTTAGAGACAATTACAACTGCCATCCTCCCTCTCCCCCACGAGGAAACCCAGGCCCTCACTTCCCACTTGACCCACTCTGGGTGGAGAGCTCCCTGGGCTCCTCCTCTGTGCCTTTCCATCCCAACCGCATCCAGCTGCTCCTTCCTCTCCACCCGCCCAGCCAAGGCCTTAGCTACACCCCTTACCCTCCTGGGTTACTGGGTCCCCCCAGGCCAGCGGCCTCCTTTCCTCACATCACTCCAGTGGCTTCTAGTTACACAACGTCCTAAAGTCCATTTCAAAACAGTTAACCTCTCACCTAACCCTGGCTGAGCCGCTCTGCTCCTTGAGGGCTGACCTGCTCTGTCCCTCTCATGAGGCCTTTTCTCGGGAAGCCATGCCTCTCAGCTAGAGGGGCCAAGAGCCCAGGCACACCAGCATTCTCGTCTCCGCTTTGCCACCTTCAGACGGGTGGCCTGGAGAAGTTACTTCACACGCATGGCCTTCACAGGATGTAACCTGGAGAAGTTACATCACGCTAATGTTTACAGATGTTACTTCCCCAGCTGTAAACATCAGCATGATGATGGCTGTCTCCCAGGGGGCTATGAGGAGCAAATGCAATGACAAAGGCAAAGCCTCGTGCCAGACCTACCCAGGGCCAACCACAAACAGGTCTACCTCCTGCCCTGGCTGGGTAGCTCCGTTGGTTAGAGTGGCATCTCGATACTCCAAGGTTGCGGATTCGATCTCCGATCAGGGCACATACAAGAAGCTACCAATGAATGCATGAATAAGGAGAACAACAAATCAATGTTTCTCTCTGTTTTTCTCTTTCTCCCTGCCTCTCTCTCTCTAAAATCAATACATAAAATAAAACAAAACCAGACAAATAGGTCTACATCCTCCTCCGCAAAACCAGGCTTTCCTTTTTAGACATGGCCTATCAGAAGAGATGACTGCATTGAGGCTTATTTCTACCTGGCAACCTGTCTTGCTTTTTTCATCTTTTATCGCCCAGCACGTGAAAATCGCAAGTAAAGATGTTCTGAACTGAATGTAATTGAAATGATAATCCACTCTGCTCCATGGAGCCCTTTAGGCTGGAAGGAGAACTTGCTCATGAGGAGGAGAGAAAATCTCACAGTACTGACAGTCACCGTTCTTACCACGGCAACTTCCTACTCTCTTCTACACATGCGCTCTCAGAGACCCCTGATGGCGTTTTCTCCCTTGATTTTCTTGGTGCAAGGAACAGAAGAAAGCAAAAGGGTACACCTGCAGCCTCAGGCCCAACAAGGAGCTGGTTTTTGAAAGAGGCAGAAAAATACAACCTTGGTTCCCAACTATGGCCCACGACAGTGATGAAGTCTTTCTTCTCCACGCCAGCCTTAGCTTCCCTTACTGATCATGTCAGACCTGTCTTCCCCACTCAAAATAAATGAGAAATTAAGGACAGAAGCAGGTTTCATACCACAAACTTAGTGAAATGTTCCTTTTAGACGCTACCCACCACCATTAAACATCAGAGAGATGATCTAAGGTCCAGGAAGGCTGGCAATGAGCACCTTGGAATGGAAACTTAGAAGGGGAGAGGGGAGAGTGGCTGAGGTTACAAGGGGGAGGGAGGGAGTGTGCTAAGAATGAAGAGCTAAATAAGGACCACAGAGCCCTGGCCGGTTTGGTTCAGTGGTTGGAGCATCGGCCTGCGGAACAGAGAATAAGGACCAAAGGTCTTTGGGGTGATGAGATACAAAGGAAGTTGTTACCCAACCCCAACACACAGGCCCTGCCGGGAGCAAGTTAGAGACCAGTGTGTTCACCTTTTGTGCTGGAGGACACAGGGCAGCCATCACCCTGGGGGAAGCATCAGCCAGGCTGAACACACTGGCTCCAGAGCTGCGATGCTGGGAAACTTGGGGGAGAGCCACGCTGCCCTGTCTTACCTGGCAGACAGCGCGCGGTCTCTGGCAATAAGTACTCGTAGGTATTGAACAGTCCTGCATCAGAGATCACGATGGGGCAATAGATGTTCACCAGCTCTTGACCCTTCTTCACACTGACACCTGCAGGCACAAGAGCTTGACTGAAGTTCTGTGTGCTCCAGGAGGAAAAGAAAGGCTCACATCCCACACTGACCTCTCCCAGCCTACACTTCATTTTCTCAGACCTGGGCGTCCAGCCCACCTAGGGCCAGGTGGGCTCGCCCCAGGCAAAGCTGCAAAATGAGTGAAACATCCTCAGGCACTTCAGCGTGTCCCACCATCGCTCTGTGCTCACCCTTCCCAGCTCTCCCCACACCCTGGGTGGGCTCCCTTTTCTTCAGCCAAACCTAACAACCTTCATACTGACCCCTTGTATCAGCCTTCCACGATCTGGTCCCTGCTGTGTGTCCACCTCATCTTTGGCCACTCATTAAACTATAGATACATTCATATAAAACAGCTGATAGGCAACCATTTTTGACCTATAAAAATGTCAGTTTCTAATGGTTCAACCTAGTATTTTTAGATGCCTAAAAATACACAGTTCTTGCCAAGTCAATGTGGGTCAGTGGTTGAGCACTGACCCATTCACCAAGAGGTGGCCAGTTCAATTCACGGTCAGGGCACATGCCCAGGTTGTGCGCCCGATCCCCAGTGGGGGGCATGCAGGAGGCAGCCAGTCGATGCTCTCTCTCATCAATGTTTCTCTCTCTCTCTCTCTCTAACATCAATAAAGAAGAAAAAAATTTTTTTAAATACACAGTTCTTTCATACCTCTGTGCCTTTGCACATTCTATTCCTCTTGCCTGGAATAACCCCCCAACCTCTGCATAGCTTCTTCTGACTCTTTATGACCTGGCTCAAGCACCTCTGCCTTCCCTCTGAGTCCTCCCTGTTCCACCATCATTCACTTCACCTCCAGTTTTAGCATGTGCTAAGTTATATGGCACTTAAATTATATCACAGTGATTGTCCCTATGAGACTGGAAACTTCCTGAGTTAGAGATTAGGACTTGTCTTTTTATTTCCATCTTTTATCGCCCAGCACATGAAAAACACAAGTAAATATTTTCTGAACTGAGTTTAATTGAACTGATAATCTACTTTGCTTCATGGAGCCCTTTAGGCTGGAAGGAGAACTTGCTCATGAAGAGGAGAGAAAGTCTCGCAGTACTGACAGCCACCGTTCTTACCACGGCAACTTCCTACTCTCTTCTACACGCGCTCTCAGAGACCCCTGATGGCCTTTTCTCCCTTGATTTTCGTGGTGCATGGGGCCACCCCCTCCCCACCTCCTCCTGGAAAGGCTCCGCTGGCGAATTCACACCAGCCCTGTTCTCGCCAGGCCTCCCTCTGTGACTTCTTAAGCACCACGTGTCATGGGTGGCCTGCTCTGCTTGCCAGCGTCCTTCCTTGCAGTGACCCTGTCCTCACAAAGTTCTCCCACAGTGGGACTGTGACTCTCTGTGAGATAACGGCAAAGACCTGGGACAGGATAACAAGATTCCGGGCCCGACCTGCCGTTTACAGGTTGAGGGCAGGGTATCCTGCTGGCCTCCATGCCGCCCAGCGAGTGCCCAGGTTACTTACTCATTCCACCAATCACTGAACAAACATTTATTTGTCGATAGACAAAGATTTAAAAGGCACAGCCTCTACTCAAGGAGGGCATGGATTACTGGATAACTATTCTTATCTACTGAATAAATAATTAAAGCCTGTTCTTTGCAAACCATGCAATCCTTTATCCTTCCTTCATCCTCTTTACCTACAGACGAATCACTCTCCCCGAGACCTGCTCTGGGGCAAACTCCAGCCGTTAACCCCACGAGGACGTTGGCCCTGCTACACCTCCTGCTCTCAGTGCTTTCTCTCCCGCAGCCCAGGTCTCTCCCGCAGCCCAGGTCTCTCCCGCAGCCCAGGGCTCTCCCGCAGCCCAGGGCTCTCCCGCAGCCCAGGGCTCTCCCGCAGCCCAGGGCTCTCCCGCAGCCCAGGGCTCTCCCGCAGCCCAGGGCTCTCCCGCAGCCCAGGGCTCTCCCGCAGCCCAGGGCTCTCCCGCAGCCCAGGGCTCTCCCGCAGCCCAGGGCTCTCCCGCAGCCCAGGGCTCTCCCGCAGCCCAGGGCCCATAGAGCAGGCCGCGAGACTCTCACCACAGGCTTTCCCAGCTGAGTCCAGCAGCACTCTCTGCACAGAGGCCTTCGTCAGGACGGCACCCCCAGCCCGCTGGATCACAGGGATGGTGTGAAAGGCGATTTCACTCGAACCCCCTCGAGGATAAAAGGCCCCTTTCATGTAGTGGTCAACCAGCAGAGCATGCATGGAAAAGGTGGTGTGGCTGGGGGTCACGCCTACAGAAGGAAGGAGGGGCGATGAGGCAAGTGTAGCAGCAGCACCACTCAGAAAGGAACCTGGACGCCTGGCAGAAAACATGCAGCCTGAGTCTCCCCTCCCCAGGGTGCAAATAATCCCCAGGGCTTAGTGTAGCCAGAGGGCTGGTTCCCATGCAAATATGCGGTGTCATACAGATCTTAGGGCCCCTGGGAATGTCCTCCCCTGCACACTGCCATGCGACCAAAACCAGGGAGGACAGTGCTGGTTGAAAAGGAAAACCATCCAGGGTGCGGATGAAGGCACTTTTACCAGGAAGTCCAGCAGGTAGGTGGCAGACTTATCCGTATACTCCAGAGGGCCTGTGATTTATACTGAATTTCAGTCAGCCCAGCACATTCGGGAAGAAAGATTGAGAGTGAGGAGGGCAGCACCTCCTCCAGGAGCTGCCCAAGGCCCAAGGCCAGCACCCACCATACGTGGGGAAGATGTAGCTGAGCACTGCCTGGAGCTCCCGGGAGGCGGGCAGCTGCCGCAGGGCCTCAGCCAGGCTCTGGGTGCACCCGCGAAGGAATGGAGAGAACCACGTGAGCAGCCCACATTTGTTGAGTAACTGAACCAGGGGCAACGGGAGAATCTTCAACAAGATGGCATGAAAGGCTCTCCTGGATGCCAGCTGGGGAAGAAAACGAGCAGGGAGGAACAGGTATTACTTCCAGAACTGCTGTGACAGATTCTCACCCAACAGCCTGCACCAGCAGAGGGCCTACCAACACTCACTCTGGCTGAACTCGGGCTGAATTTGGATTTTTAAAAACTTTCTGCCCTGGCTCAGCAGTTAGAGCGTCAGCCTGAAGACCGAAGGGTCATGGGTTCAATTCCCAGTCAAGGGCAAGAACCTGGATTGCAGGCTCCACCCCTGGTCCTGGTTGGGGTCATGCGGGAGGTAACCAGTCGATGTGTCTCCCTCACAGTGATGTCTCTCTTGCTCTCGCTCTCTAACCCCTCCCCCTTCCACTCTGTCTAAAAACCAATGGGAAAATATCCTCAGATGAGGATTAACGGAAGGAAGGAAGGAAGGAGGGAAGGGAAGGGAAGGAAATAACCTGTACTCTGAATTCTTCCCATTCTACATCCAGATGAGTCTTTTTGCTTTTCAGTTTCCTACCCAAATTCCTTTAGAAACATCTCAATCTGGTCTCAGATGAAGTGAAAAAAAAAAAAGTCATAATCTGACGCCAGGGAAACCAGCCTGGTCAGGGAGGAGAGCAAGGCGCCCCTCAGAGGCCAGAGAGAGAGTGGCAGCAGCTGAGCCCATGCTCCAGAGGCACAGAAGCCAACTCCAGGGGGGCTGAGTTCAGGACAGACATGGCTGTTCCTCCCTTCCTGCCTCCCCACCAGTCACTCTACTAATGAAGGTCAGCCTTGCCAGGGGTAAACAAGGGGATCTTAGCATGTCCATGTTACCTTAACCAGCTTTATATATTTGTCAATGGCAGCTTCCTCCTGGGGAAACTTCTCCTTGAGACCCTGAACGTAGGCTTTCTCCCCACTGTACATGGGGAATTCCTTGCGGCCGTTGGGCCCTTCTAGTACCATGATGTCAAAGGGAGAAGACAAGGCAAACCAGTCCAGCTGCCCCTCAGTAATCTGGTCCAAGATAAAACGGCCAAAGCTGCCTTCCTGCATCCTCCCAATGTAATGGATTCCTGTGGGGAGACAGACAAACAAAGTGTCTTAAGGATAAGGGGAGTGAGCCCTGGAAAGGTGGACAGAGAAGCAAGGTGAGAGAGGTTGCCCTGCATGACTGACTCCACACCCAGAAGGGTCTACCCATCCTTGCCACAGGGCGGAGTTAGAGCAGAAACTACCAAACCCCTGCCCATTTCAGCTCCCAGACAAGGACAAGGAAAGAGGTGCCCAGAGAGAAAACAGCGTCTCCAAACCAACAGAAATGCTCAGTATCATCCCACACTGGCCGCTCCAAGCCTCCTGAAGATACAGCCAAGCTCCCAGCCCTTTTCCATATAAACCTTACCTGTGTCAAATTCCAGGCCATCCTTTCTAAACGTATGACAACAGCCTCCTGCCTTGGTATGTTGTTCCAGCACCAGAACTCGCTTGCCAGCTTTGGCCAGAATCGCGGCTGCAGCCAGGCCCCCGATGCCACTGCCAATCACCACCACATCCAGCTTCTCCGGCACTCGGCCGGCTGAGAAAGCTGCAGCAGAGGGAGGAGATGGAGGGTGGGCTTCTCAAGCAGGGGCAGCAAAACAGCAAAGATGTGGAGACCAAGGGCGACTTCTCTACTTGCACAAAGCTAGAAAAGTCTAGAGCAGTTTGGCCTAGAGCTCCTTACTAGACTGTCACAAACATTTCACCTGGGGAATGCTCATGACCAGCTGGGCACATTAAACACAGTGATTTGGTTTGATCTGAACTGATTTAACCAAAGTTGCTATGTAACATGGGGATTTTCCCTACTTTCACAGACAGTAGGAGACAGTAAACTGTTTCTTTAAATTGACTTGAGAGAGCGAGGAAGGGAGAGGACGAGGAAGGGAGAAGATGAGAGAGAGAGAGAGAGAGAAATTTGTTGTTCCACTTATTCATGATTCATTGGCTGATTCTTGTATGTGCCCTGATCAGGGACTGAACCTGCAAACATGGCTCATCTGGATGATGTTCTAACCAACTGAGCTACCCAGCCAGCAGGGATCAGTAAACTATTATAGAACAAAGGCAGAAAGCTGACAACAACGTTGGCTGAGAGCCCTACGTGCAGACGGAGGGAGCGAGCTAGGGAAGAGAGAAACAAGGAGCGGGGAGCCGGGAAGAGTGTTGGGCAGGCTGCTGGCTCAGAACTGTCCATTCACAAGTTATCTTTGGGAAATGTGGGGTCTGCAGGCACCGGCGGAGCAGCCTAGTCATTTGATGGTTCTTCCTTCTTTTTTTTAGATTTAAAAAAAAAAAAAGATTTTTACAGAGAGAGGAAAGGAGAGGGAGAGAGAAACATCGACATGAGAGAGACACATCAACTGGCTGCCTCACGAATGACCCCGACCAGGGCCAGAGACTGAACTGAAACCGAGGTTCGATCTTGACTGGAATCAAACCTGAGACTCTTTGGTCCACAGGCCAACGCTCTAACCACTGAGCAAACAGGCCAGGGCGTCGTCTCATTTTTAGACCAACCCAAGTAAGCTAAAGAACTTGCTAATGGCTATGCAGTAAATTAGTGACAAAGTCCAAGCTAAAACTCTGATCCCAGAGGTTCTGACTCATAGTCCTTCCACCTAGAGCAGTGCTGTCTCCAACTGTGAGGCAAGATGTGTCACACAGAATTCTAAACATGTCAAGTGAGAAGAACCCTGGAGATCGACCCAATTTTTTTTAATAAGAAATCATATTTTATTTTATTTTTTATATATTTTTAAATCCTCACCAGAGGATACTTTTCTTTCCATTTTTATCTTCAGATAGAGGGGGAAGGAGTGAGAGAGAAACATGGATGGGAGAGAGACACATCGATTGGTTGCCTCCAAGTACGACCCCAACCAGGGCTGGAGACGAACCACAACCGAGGTACGTGCCTTTGACCGGAATCGAACCCTTGGCTCTTTGATTCATGGACTGACACTCTAACCACTGAGCAACTGGCCAGGGCCCAATTTTTTAAAAAAGCAGCAGAACTCTTTCAACCTTAGGAAGAACCCCAACATATGTTTTAAATCTGACAGCAGTACTCTGATTGATGGAAGAGTGGGTTCTGAGCCTGAGGCACCCTGTTGAGCCTCCCCCAAAGCTCAGAACCAGGGTTCAACCATATGAGTTGGGTCCAGGCATCATCAGTCAAATCACTTGTGGGCAAAGTGAAATGTCCTATATAGGTTGAAAGAGACTCTGTGCAGCTCTCCCAAGCCTCTGGGTGCATGTGGAAGGGTAAGTGAAAAAGTTAAGATCCTAGAGCTACGTAGGGGAAAGGTCACTTTGCTCTTGTGATTGTAGCCCTGTTACCAAACTCAAGGGTTCACCGCTTGGGGTGTTCTATTCAAGACTGACACATGGTTGTCAACCACATCTCATTCTTGAATAGAGCATCCCAACCGACGAATCCCTTGAGTGTGGTAACAAATTTGGCGATTCCGGCTGGGACCCTCCCACAGGGACTCCCTCTCGGCCTGGTGTGGACTGCCGGTGCGCAGTGGGCAGTGGCTGCTCGTCCGGGGCTTGCTCGCCTGCGTCTCCCCTGGACAGAGGATCTGTTCTCCAGCAGACTCCCGCTTGGTGCTGACCACCAGGACGTCTGCCTGGCCGCCCACAGTGAAGGGGAGTGGCCACCTGACCCTGTTTCCTTGAGTGCTCTGGAGAGAGGTGGGTAAGTCAGTCCCTGTGGTCACTCTAATTAGTGTTTCTATTCCATGTGGGGTGTAGGGTCGTCGAAAACGTAGTTTCCATTCTGGTGCACACTTGGTTTCTTGTTGGTTGGGCAGGAGCTGTCTCCAGGAGGCTGGATTCAGGGCCCCACTTAGGTCTAACTCTGGAGGACTGCCCAATCTCAGACATCCCTGTACAGTGATTTCCGGTCTGATTGTTTGCTATTCTCTGTGCATTTGCCTTGTTTGTGTTTTTTTTTATTTTATTTTATTTTTTATTTTTTTTCTTTATTGATTTTAGAGAGAGAGGAAGGGAGAGGGAGAGAGAGAAACATCGATGAGAGAGAACATTGATTGGTCACCTCCTGCATGCCCCCTACTGGGGATTGGGCCCACATCCTGGCCATGTGCCCTGACCGGGAATTGAACTGGCGACCTCTTGGGGCATGGGTCGGTGCTCAACCTCTGAGCCACACCGCCGGGCTGCTTTGTTTGTCTTATATGTAAATGTGCAGCTATGGGAAACTCAAATTCCATCCCTGAATGTAGCCCCTCGGGGTGTATCCTCCAGAACTGGATAAAAAGAACTCTGTTTATTTGACTTAAAGAAATTAAGTGCGTGTATACATACGAAATACAACAAATGAGTCAACAGTAGGAAACTACCCTCCTATCCAAGGCAGCCTTGCTGGAGTCTGGGAGTCACTGTGGATTTGGGAAGCATTGTTTTCTAAGCACAGGCCACTCTGCGTCCTCAGGGTTCAGTGTTTACTAACCACGTATGAGCTTCTCCCCTGCAAACCCAACCCTGCTTCCCTTCATCCCAGGAGTGCACTTTCTAGAGTACCCCAGCCAGGGCGGGACTCATGATGGAAGATGGGAATGGCCCCGCAGCAGTTTCCTGAACAACAGGGAGGCCACACCTCACTGCGGAGGCTCCCGGTTGCCAGTGGAGATGACCTGGGACAGGCAGGACTGAGTGACAAAGGTTTGGCGGTAGAACTCAGGGGCTAGTCTACGGCTAATGGTATAAAGATATATGCTTGGGGTTATATGGAAGGAATTACTGGTTTTGTCTGTGAGCTGTTTGAATAAGACTCCTACTGCTTTTCTTCTTCTGAAGGATAAGGGAAAAATTACACGCCACATCTCTTCAACGAGCCTCAATGATATAGAGATGTTCTGTTAGCAGGTGTAATTTAAAAAATGTTACCAAAGGTGTGGTAACACAGGCCACCCTAGGAGTACTATTTTTATTTTTTTATTTTAGAGGATGTTTATTACAGCTGGGGACAGTGAAACAAGGAAGGGCTGGAGGAATGAGCCGAGGCTGGGCTGCTTTGGCTCACTAAGGAGTCAGAGAAAAGGGGGCCTTGGGGACAGGTCCAGAGGGCAGGAACTGCCTGGGATGAACTGCCACTGCCCATTGCTGCCCTGGCTGCAGGCCTCACGGGGTCCCTTGGAGTTTGAGATGCTGGCTGTGGGGGAAGAAGAGGGTTGGTGAGGGGAGGCGTGCGGCTGCTCCTGGGAGGAAGAGCAGGCAAAAAACTACACTTTAAAAAATGTAGTTTGAGTCCGTTTCACTGGACTTGCAAAAGGAAGCTGGTAGAATAAGGCTAGGAGGGCTTCCTGATCACACGGCGTGGAGGAAGGTAGAAATGACACGGGGAGATGAAGTGCTTCTTTAGTAAGATTTTAGAGTGGTCTTAAAAAGCACTTTATTGGGCCCTGGCCGGTTTGGCTCAGCGGTTAGAGCATCGGCCTGCGGGCCAGAGAGACCTGGGTTCGGTTCCCACTAAGGGCGTGTACCTCGGTTGCAGTATGTGTCCCTTTCACATCGATGTTTCTTTCTCTCTCCCTCCCTCCCACTCTATCTGAACAGAAAATGGAAAGGTGTCCTCAGGTGACGATAAAAAAAAAAAAAAAAGTACTTTATTGGTTCCCTGTCCATTCACCTGCAAGGATGGTTTTTAAGATCACAGTCATGCATTCTCTCATGTCAGAGCCCAATCAAGTCAAGAAGACTCCTGAGACCTCAGCTTCTTTTCTGGGCAGCAGCCTATTAGCTCCCCTTCTCACCTCCAAAGCTGTGGGTGGCTGGGGTGGGGCTAGTTGAGGGGAGAGCTCGCTGTCTGCATCCACAGGCAGCGCTAGGTGCTTCTAAGCTGTGTCCCTTCCTTGGGGAGTGGCCCCCACTCAGCCTGGGCACAGGCCCCTGTGGCTTTGGGAATCTGCTGACTGGCAGTGGAATGAAAGGGCTGACCTGGGCACCTGCCCTGCTGTGGCAGCAGCACGGTGGAGCATGCTGCCCAGTGATTTGTCACAGCCAGAGGCACCCATGGAAGTTTAGGAACAGAATACTGCACTGCTAAGGTGTGAGCTGGGGGGGTGACAGGTGAGGGAGGCCACACCCCTACAATCTTGGGACTGAATTGTGGCGTGTGAACCAAGCTGGGCCTGTCTTCTGCCTCTCACAGTCCTGCCTGCCTGGAACGTGGGGGGCAAGCCTTGGGGAGGCCTTCTCAGCCCATCTTCTCGAGGAGTCCGGAAGCCAGAAGGTTGAGAGGAACAGGGACCTATAACTGCAGTAGGAGGTGACCCTGCACTGTGGGCATCTGCAGCCAAAAAGAAGAAGTGAGGCAGGGCTTTGGATAGGATTCCTGTCTCCTTTACTTGCTGAAAGTAAATAAAACTACCTTGCGACAACCAGGTCTCATTCTTGAAGAGAACACCCGAGCAGCAAACCTCTTGAGTTGGGTACTAGCCACTATTATACTGAATGACAGGGTCTGCAGCAGCGTGAAGAGAGAGACCAAAGCCCACACACTGCCGCATCCCCGCCTCCAGCCTGTAAGTCCCGCCACTGTAACCATCATGTCCAAGAGAAAGGCTGAAGGGGATGCTAAAGGAGATAAAGTCAAGGTGAAAGGCGAACTACAGAGAAGATGCGCCAGTTCATCAGCGAAAACTGCACCTCCAAAAACAGAGCCGAAGCCTAAAAAGGCCCCTGCAAAGAAGGGAGAGAGGTACTCAAAGGGAAAAGGGGGTAAGCTGATGTTGGCAAGGATGGTAATAACCCTACAGAAAAAGGAGAGGCCAAAACAGACCAGGCACAGAAAGCCGAAGGTGTTGGAGATGCCAAGTGAAGTATGTGCGTTGTTGTTTTTTTTAATCCTCACCCGAGGATATGTTTCTGTTTATCATCAGATAGAGTGGGAGGGAGGGAGAGGGAAGGAGAGAGAGAGAGAGAAACATGATATGAGAGAGACACATTGACTGGCTGCCTCCCACATAACCCGACCAGGGCCGGGGACAAACTGCAACCAAGGTATGAGCCCTAGATGGGAATCGAATCCGTGACTCATTGGTCTGTGGGTTGACACTCTAACCACTGAGCCAAACAAGCCAGGGCAGAAGTGTGTGTATTTTTGATAACTGTGTACTTCTGGTGACTGCACAGTTTAAAATACTATTTTTATTTTATTTTATAAAAATGCAGAATTCTGTTTTACTTTCCTTTTTAAAGCTATGTTGTTAGCATACAGAACTCTTCATTGTTGGTTTTTTGGGAAGGACGTCTAGTACTAATAATAGAATGTCTCCAGTCCTGGCTGGTGTGGCTCAACTGGTTGAGTGTTGTCCCTTGAGTCTAAAGGTTGTTGGTTCGATTCCAAGTCGGGGCACATATCAAGGTTGTGGGCTTGATCCCCAGGATGTGCCACTCTCACATTAATGTTTCTCTCTCAAAAAAATCAATAAAAACATTTTTAAAAAAGTCTCCAAAGCTGGACTGACATGGAAAAAAACACCTTTCCCTTCTAGTTTTGAAAGACTTCCTCTCGGTTCCTGAGAATGATAGGGGCAGGGGGAGAATAACAGAATAACTAGGAACTAACCACAGTGGGGCACCAGCCATAGTTACAAGAAATGGTAATCATCCATGCTCTGTTCATCGTGATTGCTTTGTTCTGATTAAAGAAAGCACATCTGACCTGGCTGGGAGTTGTACGCCCTGGGAGTTTATCTCAGAAATCCGGTCCATTCTCCTTATCCAAGGGCAAGGGGGAACTGCCTAACGAAGGGAGAGATGAGCCACCCTGCTCTCGGAACACTGGAATCCTGGAGGCGAAGCACTGGTGACCATCCTCTATAACCCCGCAGCCTGTATTCCTTCCCCTTACCTGTAACCACTGAACCATGTTTTCCCTTTTGCTTACCTGCCCTTTCTCACATAGTCTTTATTTCTCTACCCTTATATAATCGACTGGTCAGGAGGGCAGGTTAGAGCCGATATCCTAGGATGACCTGCTGTTCTCCCATATTGCTGGCAATATTGGAATAAAACACTCTTACACAATTCAACCTTGTCTCTACTTAATTAGCTCAAGTAGTGACAGGCGGTCTGGACCTGTTTGTTGTCCAGTTTCAAGAGGAGGGATCACCTGACACACATTAGCTACGTTGGCACAAACACCTTGTGGTGAGGAAATACTAAAATTTGTTTTTATGTCCTTTTCTCCCTCTCCTCTTTAAGCATAGACTTGACTCCCTTAAGCCCAGAGACGAGTTGGGACCTGACCCAAAAAATTGGCTACCAGCATGTTGGGCAATCTGGACTTTCCAGGGTCACCGCTGGGATGGCAGCCCTCAAAAAAGCAATTTCTTTTCTAGACTGTGGACCTACAGATTGATAACTCTCCCATTTTCATTTCATTTCCTAAAAGTCAGGGTTGGCTTGTGAAAAGTTGTTAAATAACATGCCTAATGTGAAATGTCAACCCTCACTCTAAACTTTCCCTGTTTGGAGCATCAGATGAAGACTCCATTGGGTCTTTACAGTGGCTTTCTGAGTTTGGTAGTCCACTGAAGAAGGGAGTTTGAAAGTTATACTGTTAACAAGTGTCTACCCATGTCCTGCATGAAATACCAAGATTGTTTATGAAAGGTATCTTTAATAAAGATGGATACAGGGTCAAGATGGCGGGTAGGTAAACACGGTATCGTGTCCTCCCACAACCACATCAAAGTTACAACTAAACTACAGAACAACCATCATTCAAAACCGCCTGAAATCATCCTGAATGGAAGTCCTACAACTACGGAATTAAAGCAGCAGCCACATCGAGACTGGTAGGAGGGGCGGAGGCTGGTCCCACACCCACGTGTGACGGATAAAAATCAGGAGGACACCTTGGCTGGGAGGGTCCTCCCTGAGGACTGAGGAGTCCCTGTCCCACACCAGATGCCCTGCTCAGGATTCCAGTGCCAGGAAGAGAAGTCCCCATAACTTCTGGCTGGAAAAACCAGCGGGAACTGAGGCTCAGAGGGGCTGACACGGCTGGAGCCCCAGGCAACTCCCTCTAAGCTTGGAAGGGAGGCAGCTCGAGGGGCACCGAGACACACAGGGAAGAACTGAGCTGTTTGGCACTGGAGCAAGGGCTGGAGAGGGAGCTTTCTCCGGGACAGGCGTGCTGTCAGAGGCCTTTGTTCCTTTGGTGAGCCCTTCCCTGGGGCGGCAGACAGTCGCCATACCTGGGACTCCAGCAACCTGGCTCACACTGGTAGCCCCGCCCTGGTAACTCCCTGAGGCCCTGCCCCACCCAACTTCAGGCCCACCCAAGCTGTTGCCAGTTGCTTAACCACAGGATTGGCCTGTCTTGGATCCTGCTTCAGGTTTTCCTAAATTCTTTCAAACAAGCAGCATCTGGTCTCAGATAGCCCCATACCTCTCGTTAAGTAATACACAGAAACAAACACAGGGAGGCAGCCAAAATGAGGAGACAAAGAAACAGGTCCCAAATGAAAGAACAGAACAAAACCCCAAGAAAAGAACTAAGCGAAATGGAGATAAGCAACCTAACAGATGCTGAGTTCAAAATACTGCTTATAAGGATGCTCAATGAACTTAATGAGGGCCTCAAGAGCATAAAAAAGGACCAGTCAGAAATGATGGATGCACAGTCAGAAATGAAGGAGGCATTAACTGAAATAAAGAATAATTTACACAGATTCAATAGTAGAGTACGTAAATCCAAGAAGCAAACCATCGATTTGGAATATAAGGAAGCAAAAAACACCCAATCAGAACAGCAAAAAGAAAAAAGAATCCAAAAAAATGAGGAGAGTGTAAGGAGCCTCTGGGACAACTTCAAGCATGCCAACATTCGCATCTTGGGGGTGCCAGAAGGAGAAGAGAGAGAACAAGAAATTGAAAACCTGTTTGAAACAATAATGGCAGAAAACTTTCCTAACTTGGTGAAGGAAACAAACATACAAGTCCAGGAAGCACAGAGAGTCCCAAATAAGATGAACCCCAAGAGGCCCATACCAAGACACATCATCATCAAAATGCAAAAGGTTCAAGACAAAGAGAGAATCTTAAAAGCAGCAAGAGAAAAGCATTTAGTTACCTACAAGGGAGTTCCCATAAGGCTGTCAGCTGATTTCTCAAAAGAAACTTTGCAGGCCAGAAGGGAGTGGCAAGAAATATTCAGAGTGATGAAAAGCAAGAACCTACAACCAAGATTACTCTATTCTGCAACGCTGTCATTTAGAATCGATGGCCATATAAAGAGTTTCCCAGACAAGAAAAAGTTAAAGGAGTTCATCACCACCAAACCGTTATTATATGAAATGATGAAGGGTCTTTTTGAAGAAAAAGATAAAATATATGAACAAACAAAATGGCAATGAATACATATCTATCGACAATGGAATCTACAAACAAAATGAACAGGCAGAGCAGAAACATTCTCATAGATACAGAGAACATTTTGTTGGTTGCCAGATGGGGAGGGAGGTTGGGAAAATGGGTGAAAAAGGTGAGGGGATTAAGAAGTACAAATTCAGCCCTGGCCAGTTTGGCTCAGTGGTTAGAGCGTCGGCCTGCGGTCCGGAGAGACCCAGGTTCGGTTCCCGCTAAGGTTGCAGTTTGTCCCCGGCCCTGGTTGGTCGTGCGGGTGGCAGCCACTCGATGTGTCCCTTCACGTCGATGTTTCTCTCTCTCTCTCCCTCCCACTCTATCTGTACAAAAAATGGAAAAATATCCTCGGGTGAGGATTAAAAAAAAAAAAAAGAAGTACAAATTCATTGCTGGACTGACAAACCTCAAAGGGAAAGGCCTGAGGGTGGGAATAAACAAACCAGAGAACTTATATGCATAACCAGTGGACGCAGACAATAGTGTGGGAAAAGGCGGGTGGGGTCAGGAGTGGGGAGGAGGAGGGTCAATGGGGGAAAAATGAGGAACATCTGTAATACATTCAACAATAAAGATTTTTAAAAAAAGAAGAAAAAAATAAAAATAAAAAAATAAAGATGGATACAGATTTTCCTGGTTCACTGGTGACCATTTTGGGTGGATGAAGCTGCTAATTGTGTTCTAAGGGGATGGAGTGGGGGAAGAAGTTTTCTCTCCCAGAAAAATGTATCTTATTCTTCCCAATTACCCTTGGCACAGAGAGTCAGGGCAGCAGCTATAGCAAGGGCGGTGGTAGCGGCAGCGGCAGTTGTAGTGACATGTCCAGCATGAATCCTGAATATGATTCTTTATTCAAGTTGCTTCTGATTCGAGACTCTGGAGTTAGAAAGTCTTGCCTCCTTCTTAGGTTGGCGGATAATATATACAGAAAGCTACATCAACACTATTGGTGTGGATTTCAAAATAAGAACTATAGAGTTAGATGGGAAAACAATCAAGCTTCAAATATGGGACACATCAGACCAAGAAAGATTTCGAACAATCACCTCCAGTTATTTCAGAGGAGCTCATGGCATCATAGTCGTGTATGACGTGACAGATCAGGAGTCCTCCAATTATGTTAAACAGTGGCTGCAGGAAATCGATCATTATGCCAGTGAAAACATCAAGTCGTTGGTAGAAAGCTAATGTGATTTGACCACAAAGAAAGTAGTAGACTACACAACAGCAAAATAATTTGCTGATTCCCTTGGAATTAAATTTTTGGAAACCAGTGCAAGGAATGTAGAACATTCATGACAACAGCAGCTGAGATTAAAAAGTGAATGGGGCCCTGCTAGTGTGGCTCAGTGGACTGAGCTTTGTTCCATGGACTGAGAGGTCCCGGTTTGATTTCTGCTCAGGGCACATGCCCGGGTTGCAAGCTTGATCCCCAATAGGGGGTGTGCAGGAGGCAGTCGATCGATGTTTCTTACATCTATGTTCTTATCTCTCTTCCTTCCTCTCTCTCTAAAAAAAAATCAATAAAAACATATTGTTTTAAAAAGTGAATGCGTCCTGGAGCAATAGCTGGTGGTGCAGAGAAGCCCAATGTTAAAATTCAGAGCAAAGTCAAGCAGTCAGGTGGAAGTTGCTGCCAAAATTTGCCTCATAAAAATGAATTTGCAATCTGAACCCAAGTGGAAAAACAGAATCGCCTGAATTGTACTGTATGTACCTGCACTACAACAGATTCTTACCATCTCCACAAAGGTCAGAGATTGTAAATGGTCAATAATGATTTTTTTTTTAATTCCCTCGACTCAAGACAGCTAACTTCACTTTCTGAACTGTTTTAAACTTTTGTGTCCTGGTTTACAAAATAATGTGTGTAATCCTTGTTGCTTTTCTTTCTTTCTTTAAATCCTCACCCGAGGATATTTTTCCATTTATTTTCAGATAGCGTGGGAGGGAGGGAGAGAAAGGGAGAGAGAGACACAGACATCGATGTGAGAGAAACACACACCTATTGGTTGCATCCCACACAACTCCAACCAGGGCCAGGGACGAATCGCAACCAAGGTATGTGCCCTTGACTGGAATCAAATCCTCAACTCTATGGTCCGCAGGTGGAGTTCTAACCATTGAGCCACCGGCCAGGGTCTTGTTGCTTTTCTGATACCAGACTGTTCACCATGGTTGGTAAGAATACATTTTGCTTTGATATTCATATTGGCATGTTTAGATGTCAAGTTTAGTCTTCTGAAGTTCAGTCATTTTGTATCAAATAGCACAACCAATGCCTGTCACTTTCCATGCATAAAGTTCAGAGAGATGTTATATGTAGGAAAATGGAAAGATGACACCATCTGATTAATAGTTTCTTCATACTCTGCTTGAATTTGTGGCTGCAGAATATTGTCATTTGTTGCACACTATGTAACAAATCAACTGAATATACGGTTTATAAAAATTGTACTTATTGGAAATGAATGAATAAATAAAATAAAGCTGGATACGGTTGGGCTTGGGGGAGAAAAAAAAAAAAAGACAGGGCCTGGCCTGAGCTTTGCCAAGACCTTGACACACAGAGGGCAGTGTGCGCGTCCACGGGTCCGCTGCGCTCCAGCCGGCCCAGGCAAAGGCTCCCCGTAGTGCTCGCCACCTCTTCGTGCATCCAGCCCTCCCGGCACTTTACAGAGGGAGAAACTGACAGCAGCTCGCCCTGACCTAAAGAAACCTCCAACCAGCGCTGCCTCGGACCCCAAGTCCCTACCACTGACCTTGTTTCAGAACTTTCTTTCGGGCCTCCTGGTCGGTCACGAGGGGTGCGGGTGGCCGCTGGACGTCCTCGGAGAAGGGATTCGGGGAGCCGCCCGAGAACAGCCCCAGGTAAGTTCTGCGGAGGACGGCCAGCAGCAGCACCGCCAGCAGCACCAGCGTAAGCCACATGGCTTCTCCGGGCTGGGTTCGCGCCGACGGCGCCTAGATTTGTGGTGGCGATTCCACCCCGTTAGTCCTGCCCAGCAGGGAGGCGGAGGCACCTCCGCCCACTGAGCAGCGCTGGTCTCTGGCCAGAAGCGCCGACTGCGCGCAGCTTGGCCCTCCGGCTCTCCGTACCGCCTCGGCAGCCGCACGGGGTCTCCGCGGCCGGTGGGAGGTGCTCTTCCGCCAGCGCCGCGGGCAAGGGCGCTGCGCCTGCGCGGAGGGGCGGCGGGGCGGCGAGGCCCCAGCGGGAAGCTCTGGGAATTCTGGGGACGCGTCGGGCGGGCCTGGGGACCCGTAAGGAGAGGGGATGTGGGGTGCAAATGATGGCCCTGGGGCGAGGCGAGGCTGACAGTTGCAGGACTGATAGAGAACCCCGACTTGGAGGCCGGAGACCTGAGTTCTGGCCCGCGCTCGGCCGAGGACGTGAGGCAAGTCGCTTTGCTCAGTTTTCCTTGCCAGGCAGACAGGACATATCCGTCCGGAACCCATCACAGCCTGGCTGGCTGGCCGGCTGGCTGGCCGGCTGGCTGGCTGGAGGTCTCTCTTGAGATCTGCGCATCGCAGCCGGCGAGCGCCTGGCCCGGTAGCTCAACAGTTTTGGCCGCGGCGCCCCCAGGAATGGCGTTGCTGCGGGGGGGGGCTGCTGGCGCCCCCGGCCTCTGGTTGGTCCTCGTGGCCCCTCCCCCCAGGGGGCTGTGTGGGGACCCGAGTGGAGGGCGTCCGGCGACAAGCCTGATGCAAGGATCAGAGAACTATCGTGCGCATTTGTGTGCGCATTTGTATTTGCGGTATGGACCCCGGTGCTGAACTAAGGACCTGTTCAGAGAGTTTAAGCTCCAGCAAGCAGTTGGAAAGTCATGCCCGTAATGAAGCCCCTTGACTAAAGTGGAGGCACCAGAAACACTTCATTTAAAAAGGATTCATCTTGCCCGGCCAGGTGGGGATCAGTGGATTAAGCGTCGACCCATGGACTGAGAGATCCCAGTTCGATTGGGGCCAAGACACATGCCCGGGTTGCGGGTTCGATCCCCATTACGGGGCGTGCAGGAGGCAGCCCATTGATCCATGTTTCTCTCTCACATTGGTGTTTGTATCTCTCCCTTCCTCTCTCTCTAAAAAAATCAATAAAAACATATTTAAAAGGATCCATCTTTATAGGAAGACCAATTCCTCAGGTCCAACTCTAAGGAACTTGCTTAATGTTGGTGAGAGTGGCTTAAGTACTCCGAGTCTTGCTCGGTTGACAGTTTGCTCTCTTCTTTCTCTGATACAGATAGTAACTGTCCCTGTTGAAGCCTCCAGCAGGGCTCCAGCCAGAGGGAGGCACTAGCAGGTGTGTAAAGCTGCTCATGCTTCTACTCTGCTTGACTCATGCACAGTAGCAGAAGGGCCTTCCTGAGATTACTGTTACCAAACCTGCCTCTCACCCTCCACAGTTGGCCGATGTATGAGTGCTTTGTCATATGCCGTCATGGAGGTCAAGGAGGAGGAGAAAAAGGGAAGCAGATGCTGAGGCCAGAGGATAGAGTGAGAGAGAGCTAGTTCCTGAGGTGCCATGAGCAAGGGGCACTGCCCTGCCTTTTAAATTACAGTGAACCAGATGCCCAGCCTAAGACCCAGGAGATATTCCTGCTCTTGGTTTTAGGAATCAGTGTGTCCTACCCCAAAAAAGATTCCTGTTTGTTACTGGCAGCCAGTTCTTAAGGAATCCGGATCATATTCCCACAGTGGAGGGCTGACCTCGTAGACATGAGGCCCTCCTTTCTTAGTCAAGCTGAGTCTGTGAACTATGTCAGTTGTGTGGGGGCCATCTGTCCATTGTGATCTGGCTTTTTTTTTTTTTTTTAAATAATGAAAGGAGGAAGGATGACATGAAGCCCAGATCAAAGGCATTTTTTAAAAATATGTTTTTATTGATTTTAGAGGGACAGCTGGAGAGAAACATTCATAGGTTGCCTCCTGCACGCCCCCTACTGGGGATTGAGCCCACAACCCTGGCATGTGCCTGACCAGGAATCCAACCTGCAACCTCTCAGTGCATGGTGCATGGTGCATGGTGCATGGGACGACATTCAACTGAGCCAGCGCTGATCTAGCCTTTTTTTTTTTTTAATCATTACCTGAGGATATGTTTCTTTTTCTACTGGTTCCAGAGACAGAGGAAGGGAGAGAGAGAAAAACAGATGTAAAAGAGAAACATGAATGGGTTACCTCCCAGGTATGCACCCCAACCAGGGATCAAACCCCAGCGATCAAACCCCAGCGATCAAAACGGCAACCTGAGTATGTGCCCTGACCTGAAATCAATCCTAAGACCCGTTGGTGCACGGGATGACTCTAATCACTGAGTAGCACTGGCCATGGCTGATCTGGCTTTTTGTTGTGACTCATTCATGGGTCCAGTCCCCCAGTGATGAACTATGGGCTTGTTCAGCCTTCTTCCTAAGTTGGATTTGGAATGAAAGACTGACTAGCCAAACTGGCTAAGCAGCTGCAGCATGTACAATATTGGTGACAACTAAAGGAGGCTAGGCATTGTGTTCCATTTTGAGTTTCTACCATCATAGGAACCAGATCTAGTATTATAACCCCCAGACCCAAACCTTCAGCTAAGACCACCCTTCATGGTGCCACCCATTAACCTCATTGTCAGAAACAGAACTCCACCACTTACAGTGGTGCTGCTACCTTCTGGATACTGAGAATCTAGCCCTCAGACTCCTGCAGGGTCTCCTTCTTTCCATCCAAAGGCATGGGAAGGCATTGGCTAAATTTATTCAGAATAAATTTATAGCTGCTTGCCCTGTAGCTATGGAAAAAGCCAGATATCCAACTGCTCTTTGGCTTAGCGGTTTGACCATCGGCCCGCAGACCAGAGAGACCTGGTCATTTCCCACTAAGAGCGTGGACCTCGATTGCAGTTTGTCTCTGGCCCCAGTTGGGGTCATGTGGGTGGCAACTACTCAATGTGTTTTTCTCACATCGATGTTTCTCTCTTCCTCCCTCTATCCGTCCTGCTTTATCTAAGGATAAATGCAAAAAAGTCCTCGGGTGAGGATAAGAAAAAAATTTACAGTTGCTTAAAGATTTTTAAAGGCAGTTTTTCTCAATAGAGGCATAACTAAATGATGAAATCAGTTTTTTAAATATGTGTGTGTATTTATTTTATTTATTTTTTTAAACAGGGCCTAGGCTTCAAGGACCCCAGGGACTTCTTTCAGTACTCCAGAAACCTCCTACACCCTGGTGATGGCACAGAGGGACTGTTTTCTTGCTCTAAATCTGAATGACTGCCAAGAAGGAAGGCAAAGGTAGAGCAGTTGGATATCTGGCTCTTCCCATAGCTTCTGATTTCAGACATTATTGAATTCCTTTCTGAGCCCCAGGACAAAGCTCACTTGAACAAGGGGTTTTGAGTCATGAATGAAAAATCCTGCTCTTTCCACAATGAAAACGAATTAAGAGATGGACAGGTAAGCAAGCACTTCTATTTGGGAAAAAGGGTGTTGGCTTGGTACATATCATTACTAGTAATAAGAGCATATATCAAGAGAACGTGGAACTTTTTGGGAAAAACTCTCATTGTACTTCCCTTTATTCTATTAGAAGAAGCTTCTATTCACTTCTGGGTCAATTGCCTTTCCTGAGAGCTTATTTTCTAAGTGGGTTAAGGGATTTGGATTTGGCTTTGCTTGGGTAGAAGGAGAATCTCAATGAGGAATTCCTTCAGAAATTTGTATTTCATTGATTTGGATTATTTACCTTATTGGCCCTTTCTGTCAAACACTACTTGGGCCTGATTTTCCTCAGGACTCTTGGTCCAGTGTCACCTGCCTTTGTGCGAACCTTACCTTTCCTGCTACCTTGCTCAGAAGTGTATTCTTAAATGGTGCCTGTGGGATTCAGTGGCTGGAACTAGGACAAAGCCTTTGCTTTGGGAGTCCAGAAAGGTTTTCTTCACTGTACTAAGACAGGTGAACTGTATTTCCAGAGGGAAGTCTTTGGACACTGGAAGGTCTGAACTGGAGAGGGAAAGGAAGGATGAAACGAATCCTGAGTACATAGACCCCTGCAGGAAGTTACTCTGTATGATGAATCACCAAATATTTTCGATAACATACTTTGTGCCTAGTACTATGTGAATGAGTATGGGAAATAGAAAAGGAATATAGCCCTGGCCAGTTTGGCTCAGCGGTTAGAGCGTCAGCCTGCAGTCCGGAGAGACCCGGGTTCGGTTCCCGCTAAGGGCACATACTTCAGTTGCAGTTTGTCCCCGGCCCTGGTTGGTCGTGCGGGTGGCAGCCATTCGATGTGTCCCTTCACGTCGATGTTTCTCACTCTCTCTCCCTTCCTCTCTCTCCCTCCCACTCTATCTGTACAAAAAATGGAAAAAATATCCTCGGGTGAGGATTAAAAAAAAAAAAGAAAAGGAATATAAGAGAAGGTCCCTGTGCTCAAAACAGCAGATTCTATTTGGGGAGATAGGCCTTTGCAGAGAAACTTGTGGTACATATAGAAGGGCTTTAGGACTTAGAGAAGTGAGAGACCACTGTAGCCCCGTTGGCAAGGTAGTCCACCTTGAGGAAATGGAACTGATTTTGAAGGGAATAGAGGACACAGGAAGTTGGAAGTAGGTGTGCATTCTAGAGGAAAATCATATGACCCCAGGAATAGAAGTGAGAGGAATTACAAGTGTGTTCATTGGATTGAAGTGGGACATTCTAGTGCTTAGGCATCATGAGGCCATTTATGGAGGAGCTGGCTCAGTTGTGATGTGTTTAGGGCATCCAGTCTCGTTCCCCAGACATAAAGAAATCAAAGCTGAATTTAAGGTCTGTTAGCAAAAATATGTAGGAGGAATTAGAGTAATGAGATACTCTAGGATTCCAAGGCCTTCATTTAAGCAATGATTCTTTATTAGTTATTTTCCTTCGATTATTTTTGTAATTTATTTTACAGAAAATAATACATTCACATGGTTCAAAATTCAAAAAGTACAGAGGATATGTTGTGAAAAAAATTGCCTTCTACCCTTACCCCCTGGCCACCCAGTTTTCCTGCTGGAGGCAAAGTTACTACTTCCTTGGGTATAATTCTGGAAATAGTCTCTGCAGAGAGAAGCAAATATGTTTATGTATTTTTAAAAAATACAAATGGGGCCCTGGCCGGTTTGGCTCAGCGGTTAGAGCGTCAGCCTGCGGTCCAGAGAGACCCGGGTTCGGTTCCCGCTAAGGGCACGTACCTCGGTTGCAGTTTGTCCCCGGCCCTGGTCGGTCGTGCGGGTGGCAGCCACTCGATGTGTCCCTTTCACATCGATGTTTCTCTCTCTCTCTCTTCCTCTCTCTCCCTCTCACTCTACCTGAACAAAAAATGGAAAAATGCCCTCGGGTGAGGATGAAAAAAAAAAAAATACAAATGGGCCCTTTTCAGTGTGACTCAGTGGATTGAGCATTGTCCCATGCACCAAAAGGTTGCTGGTTTGATCCTAGTCAGGGCACATGCCCAGGTTGTGGGCTTGATCCCCTGTAGGGGGCATGCAGGAGGCAGACCATCTATGTTTCACTCTCACACATTGATGTCTCTCTCTCTCTCTCTCTCTCTCTCTCTCTCTCTCCCCCCTCTTCCTCTCTCTCTAAAAATCAATAAAATTCTTGGCCTGGCTAGTGTGGCTCATTGGTTGAGCACTGACCCATGCACAAGAGGACATGCTCAGGTTGTGGGCCAAATCCCCAGTGAGGGGCATGCAGGAGGTGGCCAATTGATGTTCTCTCTCATCAATGTTTCCATCTCTCTCCCTCTCCCTTCCTCTGTCTCTAAAAAATCAATAAAGAATAAAAATAAAAATCAATAAAAGTCTTTAAAAAAATACAAATGGTAAAATAGTGTATAGAATCTGCCCTTTGCTTTCTCTCTTAATATATCATGAAGATTGTCCCATATTGTCTATAAAGCACTCTTATGCTTCTTTATGTCTATATAGGCTGTCATTGAGTGAATATACTTTCATTTGCTTAATTAGTTCATTAGTAGACATTTACATTTTTTTACCCTTTTGCTATTATAAACAGTGCTACTATGAAAACACTGTAAGCATTTCATTTAGCACACAGATGAGTATATCTGTTAGATGAAACCTAGAATGCAGTTGCAGGCCCAGAATATACAAAGCGTGTATGATTTTGTCCCATGTGTTGTTAGGCTATATAGGTGGTAACAGTTCACCCTCCATGATTTGGTCTTTGATATTATGCTAAGTGAAAAATATTATCTCAGAGTAGTTCTGTTTGACATTTTCTGATCATGAGTAAGGTTGAGCATTTTTTTCATATGTTTAAGAACTATTTGGCCCTGGCCGGTTTGGCTCAGCGGTTAGAGCGTTGGCCTGCGGTCTGGAGAGACCCGGGTTCGGTTCCTGCTAAGAGCACGTACCTTGGTTGCAGTTTGTCCCCGGCCCTGGTTGGGTCGTGTGGGTGGCGACCACTCGATGTGTCCCTTTCACATCAATGTTTCTCTCTCTCTCTCTCTCTCTCTCTCCCTCTCCCACTCTATCTGAACAAAATATCGAAAAATGTCCTCGGGTGAGGATAAAAACAAAACAAAACAAAACAAAAGAACTATTTGTGTTTCCTTTTGTGTAAACTGTCCATACCTATGCCTGTTTTTCTACTGGGTTGGGTGTTATTTTCTTACTGGTTTATAGGCCTAATTTTTAACATATTAGGTAAATTAGCCCTATATTGGTGATATGAGTTGCAAAAAGTTGGTCAGGTGGATTTTTTTAAGCTCTAATAGGGGACAGGTTTGGCTGAGCAGGAAGGCCAAAAGTGAGGGAATTGCCTCACTGAACCCCACTTATTCAGAGCCCTGAGACCTTTAACAGAGCCAGGAAATCCATGTAAGATTTTTGAGATAACATCAACTCAGCTTTTTACAGTTTTTCTTAAAACTAGATTAAACAGAAGCGTTTCCTTATAGTATTTCTTGTGGTTAACTTCTTAGAAGTTGACCCATTTTGTGTGGGTGAGGTACTGGGGAAAGGTGTGACATTTAAGCTGTCTTCTCTGGGGACTGACATGTGCCTGGGAGATTGACTTTGGTTTGTCTTTCAGGTTGCAAGTGTGCCTGCTGGGAACTCTCCACCATATGACAAGGACAACAGTGCTCTTCTGGCTTTCAGAGGAATTCCTGTATGTATTGCCCACACCGTAGTATCTCCTGCCAGTACAAGTTTTGGTTGCATGCTGCTATGTGGTGCCAGGAACCCATGACACAGAATGGCACAGACCCTGTCCTCCAGGAGCTCACGCTCGGGGGGGGGGGGGGGGGGGGGGCGCACAAATAAGCAAAACAACCTTCAGTCTAATAAGATAATTGCTATAGTGAAGCAAAGTACAAAGTGCAATGGGAATACCAAAGGCACATCACAGACTCAGCTCAGTTGTGTGAATGTTTTATTGTTTACTGTTCATAGAAGGCATATACTTCCCCACATCACACAAATTCTACCTCATAGGTGGAATATCCCAGGTGCCTCTCTTTAAGATTGGCTTTAATCAGCCCATCAGGGTAGACTAGATCCTTCTGGCCTCCAGTTCCAAGGACATTCAGTACAATGGGTAGGTCATGTTTGTGTGGTTGGAGGGACATCGACTCTACCCTTACACTAAAGATCACTGCCTCTGCAGATCTCGGAGTTGAAGAACCACAGCATCCTCCAGGCCCTGACATCAGAAGCTAATGGATGGGCGCCAGGTGGTAAGTCCCCCTCAGGGCCCTTGGCGCCTGGGTGGGGCCTAAGTCAGAGCTCCCTGTGGATCTGCTTTTCATCATTTGAATTTCTCACTACTTGTGTCCTACAGAATTTTGTAGATTTATCATTATTCAAGGAAAATTAGAATCAACACTGGAGGAGTCACAAGGTCTGAGTTTGAACCCAGCCCCCATTAGCCCTGCTAGTGACTTACTGTGTGCCTTTGGGAAAACCAAATAATCTGTCTACAGTGGAAATATTAAGACCTCCTTTATCCTCAAAAGGATATTATGATCACGAAATAAGACAGTATATGCATAAAGGCTTTGAAAAAGCCTCCTATTTTATCTGATTTACATGGTTCTTTTCTATATCGCAGGGTGGGGCAAAAGTAGGTTTACCGTTGTTCTATGAAAAATAATACAGTAATTAATAAATAATAATATAAGAATAAACTTTTTGTTTTGCGACTCACAACTGTAAACCTACTCCTGCTCCACCCTGTATATTTAAAGCTCATTCCGCAAAGGCACAGTCAGTTCAGAAGCACCAGTTCTGGAGTCAGAGCTTCGACTTCTGTACTGGCTCCCACCCACCAGCGACAGGAGCTTGCGCAAGTTACTTAACCTTTCTGACCCTCACTTTTCTCATCTGTAGAAGAGGAATTGTACCAGAACATGTATGATGGGGATTATATAAGGATTAAGTGAGATACTGTAAAGTGCTTAGCACACAGAAGGTAAATCACAGTGAGTGCTTGTTGGTATGTACTGTTATCTTGTTTTTTTAATCCTCACCTGAGGATATTTTTCTGTTTATCTTCAGATAGAGTGGGAGGGAGAGAGAGAGAGAGAGAAACACATCGACTGATTGCCTTCCGCACGACCCGACCAGGGCTGGGGACGAACCATAACCAAGGTATGTGCCCTTGACCGAATCGAACCCGCGACTCATTGGTCTGCGGGCCAACACTTTAACCACTGAACCAAAGCGGCCTGGGCTGTGCCAGATATTTTTAATTAGTTTAAAATAGTAGGCTGACTAAGTCAGCAATGCTGTTTACTGGATGAATAAGTGGAAGAGAGCCTAAATAAAGGAGGTAGTTGGAAAAAGGAAAAAAGACAAAGAACCATACTAATGTGAGCTGTGTTTATTATCCTGAAGACTTCTGTTTTGCCTCTATCTTCTGCTAGGGAGAAATTAGTATTCATGTAAGTATCATCTGCAGATGAAGGAGTCTACCTGGTTCCAAAAGGAAAGACACTCTTCCCCGGTTTGGATATTTGTCTCCAGTTTATAGGCACTTTCTTTTTATTGATTGATGGATGGATGGATTTTTTTTAAAGAGAGAGGAAAGGAGAGAGAGAAAAACATCAATTTATTGTTCCACTTGGTTAGGCATTCACTGGTTAATTGTTGTATGTGCCCTGACGGAGATGGAAACCTTGATGTAGCAGGACGATGCTCTGGCCACTGACCTTCCTGGCCAGGGCAAGACGTGTACTTTCTGTTGACTAATCTGCTGTCACAACAGATTCCCACACCCTTGCTGATGAGGTTTCTGCTCCTTGATCACAATCTTTGATCACATTGTTTGTTGGTGAGTTGTATGGGGTGAAAGATTGGTCAGCTTGCTTGTAGTGAGGATCCGAAGGGTGAAGAGTCAGTGCGCCTGGGTGGAGGTGAGGGGTGAAGGGTGAGAAGCTCCTCTTCAGCATCTTAATGAGCATTCATGCTGCTGTTTCAGTCTTCTCTTTTTGTTCAGCTACTTTAAAAAAATTTTTTTTCCCTTTATTGACCTTAGAGAGGAAGGGAGAGGGAGAGGGAGAGAGAGATAGAAACATCGATGAGAGAGAGTATCGATTGGCTGCCTCCTGCATGCCCCCCACTGGGGATCAGGCCTACAACCTGGGCATGTGTCCTGACTGGGAATCGAACCAGCGACCTCTTAGTGCATGGGTCTACGCTCAACCACTGAGCCACACCAGCTGAACTGTTCAGCTACTTTGTCCCTCCTTTTTATCTCCCAAAGGCCCAGCATGCTGGAAATGGGGGGGGGGGGGTTACCATCCATGGTCAAGTATTCTGTATTCTGTTGAAGTTTTCCAGCTTGGAAGCCCAGAGTTTGGGACTGGCTAGATTGAATTTCCTGGAGTTCCAGACTTGCAGAACCCTGGACCCATCTCATCTGCCACCACTATTCGCTGCCCTGTTGGACACAAGCCCATGACTGTGTCCATAATACTAGCTAATATGTGTTGAGCACTTACCTTTGGGCTACATATTCCCTGAAGAAGTTGAAGAGTTACATCATCCTCACAGGAGTCCCCACGAGTGATCACAGATGGTTAAGTCACTCTCCCAAAGAAAAACAGCCAAAGTGGAGGGGAAACATTCGTGAGCAGTAGGCGCTGGAATGTGCCTTCAGCAGCCGACCTCTACTGCCTCCCAGCCGCTTTCCTCCTCATTACCCACTGGGTTTCGAGTTTGGGGTAGAATTTTATTTAATTTGCAAGTATACTTTTAAAACAATTTTATTGGCTAGTTGCTCAGTGGTTAGAGCATCAGCCCATAGACCAATGAGTTGCGGGTTCAATTCTGGTCAAGGGCACATACCTCAGTTGCGGTTCGTCCCCGGCCCTGGTCGGGTCGTGTGACACGGAGGCAACCAATCAATGTGGCTCTATCACATCGATGTCTCTCTCTCTCCCCCTCCCTCCCACTCTATCTGATGATAAATAGAAAAATATCCTCAGGTGAGGAATTAAAAAAAATTAATTATCATGTGATGTCCTCAGCCAAGAGTTTGAGGCAGAGAGGAACTGTTCTAAATAGCTTTTACCACTGAGCCTGGAGGGATCATGATTTTGGTATTTAACTAAAGTCCTTCATCCTTTCCACTACTGATGTCCTCCTCCATAACAAAGGGAAAAGCCAGTGACAGGACACCTGCAGGCAATTTGGGCTAGAGAGCAACAGCTGTGGTTTGGAGAAAAGCGCCAGTAGCGACTCCAGAGAGCTTTTGTCCTGCTTTTCCCCCCCTTTTATTGTGCTTTCATTCATTCATCAAATATTGGTTGAGCACGTATTATGTGTCAGGCACTGTGCTAGGTTCTGGAGAGCCCTGCCCTCATGCAGCTCCCAGTGCAGTGGGAAAGATGGTCACAGCACTGTGATGAAGCATCCAGGTGCGGGTGATGATCAGCATTAACTGAAGGATGAGCAGGAGCTACACCAGAAGGGTTGGAACTGATGGCAAGAGTACCTGGGGGCTGACCGTCAGCAGCAGGAGAGCAGTCTGTGCCCAGGCACCGAAGAGAAACTTAGTTATTCTGTATGTCCCAGGGCAGAGCTAAAGAGGTCCAAAGGGTGCCGATTGTGAAAGTACTTAGATACTATGCTGAACAGTTGGGTTTAACCTTGAGAGTTATGGAGAATCCCTGGAGGGTTTTGACCAGGGGGGTTGGAGTGGGGGGTGGGGGGCATCGTATTGCCTTTGGGAAAACTCACTCTGGCAGCCACGTGAAGAGGGTGTCTGAGGGCAGCAGGACCCAGGCAGGCAGATAAGGCTGGGTGCTGACAGTGATCCGGACTACCTAGATCTCAGAGGGGTCCTTTTCTCACTGTTGCAGTTGTGAGCCCAGAGGTGCTCAGGGCCCAGGAAGAATGGGAAGCCGTGGACAGCATCCAGCCGGAGACAGGTAACTGCAAGAATGGCACTGTCTCCACACAATCTGCTGCTGGAAAGGCACGGTCCGCATGTGAGGTGGATGTTCTGTGGGAGTAGGAGACAGAATTCCTGAGTGTTCTTATTTTAGCTGTGTGACAGAATAAAGTCTCTTTCCAAATCTAAAGATGACCTTCCGGAGGAAATAAGAATGAATGCCATGGAGAAAGGGCTGCCATCTACCAGCCCTGAGAAGACAGGGAGGACCTTGGCCAGGGTCAGCTTCTGTAGGGAGATGAGGTTAGGCAGAAGGATGGAGGCAGCCAGCCAGGGCCCCTGCATAAGGGTGAGTGGGCTGTTCAGTGGACAAGGAAATCCCTGGAGATGGAGACTGAAGCTGTCTACTGGAAGGCTCTGAGGGCTTGGTGAAAACTCTCACATCCCTTTCCGAGAGCTATAGGAAAACCGAACTGGGACCCATATCTAGCCTGAGCCCTGGAGAGATGTTATTGCTAACTGGCAAGTTAATTCGCTGTGGACTAGAACGAAGGATGGAGAACACCCTCTTGTGTAGGTACCCACTCCAGTCAGTGACTTGCCCCCTCACAGATGAGTGGAATTTAGGGAGCCCTTGAGGAGCAGATCTATCCCTACTCTCTGCATAGGTTGGCTTGCAAGCCTCTGAACAGCCCAGTCTGAAAGGGGAGTTGGCCCAGCAGATGATGCCAGCCCCTTGAAAGAAGATGGTTATAGTAGCTTTGTGTGTCTGATGTTTACAGCTGGAAGCCAGTTCTGGGCTTAGTGGTGACAACTGAGAGGCCTCCGTGAATGGCTGCCGACACAGTGACTACTGTTACAAATCCTGGGGTGTCCTCATCTTCCCTTTTTGCCACAGGGAGCCGGACCAGCTCAGACCAGCCTGGGCAGCTGATCTCCTTCAGTGAGGCCCTGCAGCATTTCCAGACTGTCGACCTCTCCCCCTTCAAGGTATGACGGTGGGGAGGTTTGGGATCTCCAGCAAAAGCACCTTTTTCCCAGGAGCCAGGTTTCTATCCCTCCAGCTTAGGTCACTGGGCAAGCAAGAAGGAAGCTTTTTGGGACAGTGCCCAGAGCTCCCGTGGCCCTGTCATACAGAGATCCATGTAGCTGCTCTTCCCTCGTAGGGATGGGAGGCCTGGAGTCAAATGCAGGTAGTTCCCTAGGAAAGCAAGGCAATCTGTGCAGAGAGCTGAGTAATTCATGGCTAATTTAGGAACCTTTTCCATGCCCTCTAGGTATCAGAAGCTATCTGGGAATTTAAAAAATATGTAAGATTAGGTCTGGCCAGTGTGGCTCAGTGGATTGAGCGTTGCCCCGTGGACTGAGAGACGGGCCTAGTTCAGTTCCTGGTCAGGGCAAACACCTAGATTTCGGGCTCAGTCCCCAGTAGGGAGTGTGCAGGAGGCAACTGATTAATGTTTCTCACATCGATGTTTTTCTCTCCCTCCCTTTCTCTCTAAAAAACCAATAAAAACATTTAAAAAATATATATAAGATTGGGAAAAGAAAGAATATTGAGAATAAAAGCTGGCAAGCTTTCTGGGACATTTGAATGACCAGTAGTAAGTTTAGAGGAATGTGATTTCAGACTTACCTAAAACCTGGCTCAAGAGAAAGGCTGAAAAGATAGGAATCAGGTTGCCAAAAACTACCCAAGTCAGTTTGTTCGAAGACTGGTGGCAGCGGCGCTGAGCAGTGAGAAGTCAGCATGACCTTGTTTAGGAAGCGCTGGTTGCCATGGCAGAAGGCTCTAGCTCCCCTCAGAGCTATCTAGCTCCAAATAAAAGTCTCCACTGGCCCTGGCCAGTGTGGCTCAGTGGTTGGATCCTTGGCCCATGGACCAAAGAGTTGCTGATTCGATTCCGGTTAAAGGCATGTGCCTTGGTTGCAGTTTGGTCCCCAGCCCTGGTCGGGGTCATGTGGGAGCAGCCAATCCATGTGTCTCTCTTTTTCTCTCTCTTTTTTTAAACTCATTTATTTAATCCTCACCCGATGATATTTTTCTATTTATCTTCAGATAGAGTGGGAGGGAGAGAGTGGGAAAGAAAGGGAGAGAGAGAAAAGCATCGACGTGAGAGGGACATATCAATTGGCTGCCTCCCATGTGACCCCGACCAGGGCCGGGATGAACCGCAACCGAGGTACGAGCCCTTGACCAGAATTGAACCCAAGAATCATTGGTTCGAGGGCCAACGCTCTAACTGCTGAACCAAACCGTCCAGGGCTCAATGTGTCTCTCTTACATCAATGTATCTCTCTCCCTCTCTCTCTCCCTCCCTCCCACTCTATCTGAAGATAAATGGAAAAATATTCTCGGTTGAGGATTTTTTTTAAGTGTCCACTAAACTCCTATTCCCACTGGCTATCTCATCCTGGAATTTGAGAGTGCTGCTAGACTTTATAAATTATGTCCTTTATGGAGAGAGACAGAGACAGACATACAAAGGCTGTGCAGAAGCAGCCCTGCTGGAAAACCTGGTCCAGTGTTTGGAAGGCCACCCCGGGGAGTCCCCATAGCCAGCAGCTCTAGCCTCCTTGACAGTCAGTGGAATAGCTAGTTCTGGAAGAGCCTGAAGGACCAAATGTAGACAACAGACTGATACCCTATGCTTGGGACATCTCTCTCTATTCACTAAGAACTGGGGAGCGGGGAGAGCCCGTCCCCAGAGATTCCACAGATGCTGTAAAGCTTCTGTCCCCTTTCCTTGGCCCAGAGACCAGCACTTAATTGGGGGAACTACTTCTTTCTGCAAGAACGATCCCTGTACTCTCAGCCTGATGATAAGTTCATTCAAGCAGGTGAACCCACATGCTACTCATTACTGCAACTTTCTCCCCAGAAAAGAATCCAGCCAACAATTCGAAGGACTGGGCTTGCTGCCCTCCGGCACTGCCTCTTCGGGCCTCCAAAGCTCCACCAGGGCCTCCGTGAAGAAAGGGACCTGGTCCTGACAATCGCTCAGTGTGAGTGCACCGGTGCTGCCACAAAGAGGTGCTGCATACGGGTCAGGCAGAGAGCACTGTTTGCTCACCCTGTTACTAAGCCCCACCCAAGGGTCTTGCATTTTCCATGTTGACATGGGGCGCAAGAACCGGGTTTGTGAAAGTCTGGGAGAGCAGGGGGTCTTAAGTACAGTCTGGATCTATCTTGAGAAGCACTCAGTCCTCCCCTGAAGGGCGATCCAGCAGAGAGCATGCGTGTGTTTTGGGGCAGGTGGCCTGGATAACCAAGACCCAGTGCATGGCCGAGTCCTCCAGACCATCTACAGGAAGCTGACCGGCTCCAAGTTTGACTGTGCCCTCCACGGAGACCACTGGGAAGATCTGGGCTTTCAGGGTAAGAGGGAGAAATGGCTCACCTTCTTTCCCTGGACCCCTGATTCTGGGACTGGAGTGAGAGCCCCGATAGTCTTCTTCCTGTCATGCCAGCGCCGTGAGACGGGCTCTCTGAAGGAAGGCATTCCAGGAGGAGGGGACCGCGAGTGCAACGGCCCTGCCAGGAAGCATGCTGACCCCTGAGAAATAGTGTGTCTGACTGGAGAAGAGAGTGACAGGGAAAAGTCCACCTGTGGCCTTGCAGACCATTGCAAAATGCTCTAAATGAGGTGGAAACCATTGGAGTGATAGGATTTGGAATCTTTTTTCTTTTTCCTCTTTTCCATTAATATTGATGATTTTTTTTTTTATTTTACTTTTGGGTGAAACAAAATGATTTCCCCTGCTTTTGGATTGTGCTCCTCTTTTTTCAAAATTATATCAAATTAGCCCTGGCCAGTGCGTCTCAGTGGTTAGAGCGCCGGCCTGCACACCAAAGGTTGTGGGTTCGATTCCTGGTCTAGGGCACATACCTGGGTTGCAGGTTCAATACCCTGTTGCAGTATATGCAGGAGGCAACCAATTGATGTCTCTCTCACATTCTCTCTCTCCTCTCTCCCCCCCCCCCCCACCTTCCACTTTCTCTAAAAGAAAAAAATTAATGGAAAAAATATCCTCTGGTTAGAATTTTTTATTATTTATTTTTATTTTTTATTTATTAATTTTTTTAGTCCTCACCCGAGGACATTTTTTGATATTTTGTTCAGATAGAGTGGGAGGGAGAGAGAGAGAGAGAGAGAAACATCGACGTGAAAGGGACACATCGAGTGGTTGCTACCCACACGACCCAACCAGGGCCAGGGGACAAACTGCAACCGAGGTACGTGCCCTTAGCGGGAACCGAACCCGGGTCTCTCTGGACTGCAGGCCGACGCTCTAACCGCTGAGCCAAACCGACCAGGGCTGGTTAGAATTTTTTTAAAAATCACATCAGGCCCTGGCCAGTTTGGCTTAGCGGTTAGAGCGTCGGCCTGTGGTCCCAAGAGACCCGGGTTCGGTTTCCGCTAAGGGCATGTACCTCGGTTGCAGTTTGTCTCCGGTCCTGGTTGGGTCGTGTGGGTGGCAGCCACTTGATGTGTCTATTTCATGTTGATGTTTCTCTCTCTCTTCCTCTTTCTCCCTCCCACTCTATCTGAACAAAAAAATGGAAAAACGTCATCGGGTGAGGATAAAAATAAATAATAAAATAGAAATTTAAAAAAAAATCACATCAAATTATACTTGTGTAGTATAGGAAAATATCTTAATTTTAAAAGGAAACTTTATAGCCCTGGCTGGTTTGGCTCAGCAGTTAAAGCATCGGCCCGCAGACCAATGAGTTGTGGGTTCGAATCCAGTCAAAGGCACGTACCCGGGTTGTGGTTCATGCCTGGCCCTGGTTGGGTCATGTAGGAGGCAACCAGTCTATGTGGCTCTATCACATCGATGTTTCTCTCTTTCCCTCCCTCCCACTCTATCGATGATAAATAGAAAAATATCCGCAGGTGAGGAATATAAATAAATAAATAAATAAATAAATAAATAAATGGAAACTTTATATACCCATAATTAATTGATAGTCTTGGTATTGACAACATGTTTAGGTCCCTTTATCCACCCTCATGTCTTAAATATTTCCTCTGTATACATTGAAAATCACATGAGTACCCTGGCTGGTTTGGCTTAGCAGTTGGAGTGTAGGCCTGCGGACCAGAGAGTCCCGGGTTTGGTTCTCCTTAGGGGCATGTACAAAAAAAAAAAAGAAAATCACATGAGTGTTTGATTTTTGTTTCAACCATTAAACAACTTAAAAATTTGAAGAGGAGAAGCGAAGTCCATTGTATGTGCCCATATATTTACTCTTTCCATTGTTCTGTCTTCCTTTCTAATATCCTAAGATTTCTTCTTTTAACATTTCCATTCTATTTCAAAACATCCTCTAGCCATTTTCTTATGTAGACCTACTAGTGACAAATTCTCTTAGTTTTCCTTCATCTGATAATGACTTGATTTCCCCTTACTCCTAAAGGGTAATTTCTCTGGATATAGAATTCCCAGTTGACAGTTCTTTTTCAGCACTTAAAAAATGTGCTACTTCCTTTTGGCTTCATGGTTTCTGATGAGAAAGCTGCTGTCATTTGAATTACTTCTCCCTGATAGTTAAGGAGTTGTTTTCTCTTTCTGTTTCAAGTTTTCTTTGGTTTGGTCTGGTCTTTAGTTTGCAGCAGTTTGATTATGATGTGTCTTTCTTGGTGTGGATATCTTTCAGCTTATTCCATTTGGGGTTTGCTCAGCTTCTTGGATCTGTAGGTTTATGTGTTTTGCCAAATTTGATAAATTTTCATCCATTGTTACTTCGAGTACTTTTTTCAGCCCCACACTTTCTCCTCTCTGTGGGACTCTGATGACACAAATGCTCGGTTCTCTGTTACTGTTCCACATGTCCTGCAGGCTCTGTCCATAGCTCGTAAATCTCCGAGCTGTTCATTTCGTTTTATTTTTTTCTCTCTGTTGTTCAGATTGGGTAATTTAAATTGTTCCATCTTCGAGGTCGCTGATTCTTTACAGTTATCTCTGTTCTGCTGTTGAGACCATCCAGTGAATTTTTAATTTTAGTTACTAAGTTTTTTTTAGTTCTGAAGTGTTTATTTGGTTCTTTATACAGGATATTTCTTTACTGATACTATTTCATCATTTCTTTTCTAAATGTGTGGTAATTTTCTATTGTTGCTGCAACAAGTAACCACAAGTTTAGAAGCTCTAACAAGGCAAATGGATAGTTCCGGAGTTCAGTCTGAACCAGGTCTCCTGGGGCACGAGCAAGGTGGCAGCAGAGCTGCTTTCCCTGGGCTTCGGGAGAGAATCTTTCCTGCCTCTCACCTTCTAGAGGCTGCCTGCATTCCTCCTCCTTCATAGCATCTGAGCCTCTTCTGCTCTCCCATCTCCTTTTCTGACTCTGTTTCTGCCTCCCTCTTTCACTTACTTTGGGCCCACCCAGATAATCCAGGATAATTTTCTTATCTGCTGATTAGCAACCTTAATTCTACCTGCAATCTTAGTTCTCCATTGGCCTGCAACATTACCTATACATAGGTTCTGGGGATTAGGACAGGGACATCTTCAGAGGGGCCATTATCCTGCCTACGTCAGCTGCTTTAAAATCCTTATCAGAGCCTGGCTGGTGTGGCTCAGCGGTTGAGCATTGACCCATGCACCAAGAGGTCACCAGTTCGATTCCCAGTCAGGGCACATGCCCAGGTTGTGGGCCTAGTCCCCAGTGGGGCACATGCAGGAGACGGCCAGTTGATGTTCTCTCTCTCATTGATGTTTCTGTCTCTCCCTCTCCCTCCCTCTCTCTCTAAAATCAATAAACTAAAAATATTTTTTAAAAAGATTCTTATCAGATAATTCCAACCTCTTTGTTATCTCAGTGTTGCTCTCTACTGATTGTCTTTTCTCCTCCAAATTGAGATTTTCCTAGATCTTTGTGTGACACTGGATATTTTGAGTATTGTGTAATAAGACTCTGGATCTTCTTTAAATCTTCTGTTTTAGAAGGTCTCCTCTGATACTGAGCCAGTGGGGGAAAGGAGGTGTCACCTCATTACTGCCAGGTGGAAGGTAGAAACCCAGTTACCCCAAGTGACCTCCACTAACACCACTGGCTAAGAAGGGTGGGGGTGCCTCATTACTGTTCCCATGGAGCCTCTACTGACATCCATTTCACTGACACCTCCCGGGTGGGGGGGTCCTCAGCACCAGGAAAGGATAAAAGTCCCACTTTTCTGACTGCCCTGCTAAGAGGTGTCTTGTTACAGTCAGTCAGGGTAAGTCTTGGCTTTCCACTTGGCCTATAACTAAGTCGTTGAAGTTCACAGGAGTAGGAATTTCATTAAGTATTACTCCCCATCACCCTCAGTTTCCTCATGGTTTCTGTTCTAGGAGCAAATCCAGCCACAGACCTGAGAGGAGCCGGCTTCCTTGCCCTCCTGCATCTGCTGTACCTGGTGATGGACTCGAAGACGTTGCTGATGGCCCAGGAGATTTTCCGCCTGTCTCATCACCATATCCAGGTGGGGCTTTGGTGGGAAGCCAGCAGAGAGGGCTGTGCAGCTAGGACCTGGGCACAGGGCTGTTTGAGCAGCCAGGCAGGCCTCACGAGGAAATATCTCTAATTGCCGAGGGCTCTCAGGACAGCTGAGGCAAACCAGGAATGGCCTTCCCTGTCACTTTTGGAATCTGAGCTCTACCACTCATTAGCATGTGTCTCAAGCATTGCCTCAGTTCCCCAGAGCCTCGGTTTCCTCATCGGTAGAATGGAAATTATGGAAACTTCAGCTGGGTAATTGGGAAAATTAAAGGAGATAATGTACAAAAGTGCTAGGCACAATTGTGATGTTAGTGTTTCAGCTCACCACTCTCCCTGAGGAAATCCCCGAGCCCAGAGGAGGAGAGCCACCTTCGTGTGCCCCAGAGAAGGTTGGCCCTGAGGGTCAGGTGTCGCAAGGATTCACTGACAGGCCAGAGTAGCCCTCAGTCTCTGTCCAGGCTTGCTCTCTGGGGTTGGGTTTGATGGTTCCCCAGTTAGGAAAAGGAGGTAGTCCCACCATTTTAGAAAATGAATTTGACCTGTTTCTTGCTAGGCGTCTCCCAGATTTGTGGGACCTGTGATTCATTCACTAAACAAGTATTTATTCAGCATCTGCTGTGCTAGTTATTGTTCTTGATGTTTGAGTTAACTCAGTGAACAAAACAGACAGAGATCCTTCTAGCAGAGACGAGAAGACAGTAAGCATAACACATACGTACATTATAGGATATGTTAGAAGATGATAAGTGCTAAGGAAAAGCACAGGTGGGATAAGGTTTGGAGAATGTGGGGAGGGGTTACCATGTTTTATGGGGTGGTCACGGTAGCTCTGATGAGAAGGCGAGGTTTAGACCAAGCCTTGAAGAGGTGAAGATGTTGGCAAAGCTGGTTTCTGGGGGAAGAGCATCCGCGCAGAGGGAGCAGCCGCAGCACGGGTCCCGCGGGGAGAGTGGCATGTAAAGGAATAGCAGGGTGGCCAGCTGGAGCGGGAGAGGGTGGGAGGGCAGAGGGTCGTAGGGACCAGATGGCACAGTGCCTGGAGGTATGATAGACTTTGATTTTATTCTGAGCAAAATGAGAGTGTTCAGCAGCCTAGAGGATATGATCCAACTTGAAATTTTTAATGGATCCCACCAACTGCCAGGTTGAGAATAGTCTAGAGCAGCAATTTTCAACCGATGTTCTGCAAGAATTTTTAAAACATGCCATACCTATTTAGTCAGGGGCACTGACCCCTTTTTCCTTAGATTGTCCAATAAAAAATGACAATAGCCGTCCCGTGTAGATAAATCAAAATTACACTTTTTTTTTTGTCAAACCGGCAAAAATATATTTTTTGGTGTGCCGCAGAATTTTAGTTACTAGTTTACGTGTGCCATGAGATGAAAAAGGTTGAGAATTGCTGCTCTAGGCCTTTATAATCAAGTTGGAGATGATGGTGATGTGCCAGGGTCTTTTCAGAGGAGGTGTTGTGAGGTGGTCCGATGCTGGCTGTGGACTCTCGAGCGAATGGGCTTCAGTGAGTAGAGCCAGCATATTCTCCTGATGGATCGGATATGAGTGTAAGAAAAAGAGGAGTCAGTATTGATTTTTATTTAAGCAATTGGAAAGGTAGAGTGGCCATCAGCTGTAATGGAAAGCTAAGAGCACGTTGGAGGGTCAGTTCGCCATATAAACTTTAGATCGAGCTTACGCACTTTTGGTAAGAACCCCACAAACGTGGTGCCCAGTCCGTGCCTTAGATTAGGAGCAGATACTGTCAGCATGTCTCCCTGCTGGTGAGGCTGCCCTTGAGCAGGTGGTTAAGGTGATATCTGCTGGCTTTCTCCACCATGAAGTTACTATTTCTCCCTTTGTAATGAATGACTATGTTGAGGAAGATACTTTGAGACTATGCAAATATCCTGTTTCTCCTCAAACTTTGTTCTAATGGTGAGTTTCTGTTTCCCTTGTTCCTCCTACATTTATTAATTCTGTAAGAATTAATAAATTTCGTAAGAAAGAATTGTCTGTGCTTTTCTATTTATTTATTCAATTAATTTTTACATCATTGTGGACTTATTGGTATTTATTTTATTCTATGAGTTATAACCCAACATTGTATTTTTTAGTTGCTCAAATTGTTCCATCTTTGGCCATTTTAAGAGTTCTTTCATGGTAGCATTTGTGCCCTTTTAACTTGCCTGTTCTTTCTTGAGAACTTTTACTTTCTGGACACCAAAAGATAATCTAGGTTCATCTTGTATTTTCCCTGAATAATTCCCAGCCCTGGAGAATGATATTTAGAAACCAAGGTCTGAGCAGGAGGCTTTCTGGCTGCTATTCAGATTTCCCGGCTCCCAGGCCCTCCTGTGTGTGTGTCACTGGTTCACTCCCGACTCCGACAGGAGGGTCTTCAGTAGCCCTTCACAGAAACTGGGAGGCGGTGTGCTTTTATGCTGCCTGAGGGAGAGGGGCCTGAGAATGAGTGGCTATTAATCAGATCGTTTTATCTTAGAAGGCTAGTGTTGAGCAGGCCTGAATTGCAAAAAGTGTCGTTGGCCATATTAATTCTTAATTCTCAGGACCTCAGTTTTTTTTCTTTGTAACATGTGAACCTAATTCCAACCCTGTAAAATTATTCTAAGTGGAAAATAAGCCATGTAAAGTACCAAGCACATTAGTCATTTAGTGAGTGTTGGTTATCAAAGTAATTTTTGATTACTATGAGTAAAAATAGATATTTTACATCTTATGTATAAAACATACATTAATATATCTTTTTTTCTTTATTGATTTTAGAGAGAGAGGAAGTGGGAGAGGGAGAGATAGAAACATCGATGAGAGAGAACATCAGTTGGCCACCTCCTGCATGCTCCACAACCTGGGCATGTGCCCTGACTGGGAATCGAACCAGCGATGTCTTGGTACATGGGTGGATGCTCAACCACTGAGCCACACCGGCCGGGCAATATATCATGTTTTTTAAATCAGTCAAATACATACCTGTACATACCTGTGTGAGTGTGCTGCGTGCATACACACACACACACACACACACACACACCATTAGTAAGGTAGATACCTTCGAATCTAGAACTTACTGACTGTGAAGCAAATAATCATACAATTCCTGACACCTGGGCAGTTTTTAATTTCCAATATACAGATACTATATATCTCTGTATCTTTTGGGGGAAAACACTCATTAAATCTTAAGGCTTTACAGGAAACACTGGAAGAGGCAAGAGGGGGTCTTCATGAGTATCTGGTCTTGGGAGATATCAGGACCCCACAAGTTGGGAATGTGGGCATATTCTGTGGTCATCATGATTCAGAGAGGTATTGTGTGGGCCGAGTTTGAGAACCGTACCTGCCCTGGCCGGTTTGGCTCAGCGGTTAGAGCATCGGCCTGCAGTCCAGAGAGACCCAGGTTTGGTTCCCGCTAAGGGCACGTACCTCAGTTGCAGTTTGGCCCTGGTTGGGTCGTGTGGGTGGCAACCACTCGATGTGTCCCTTTCATGTCGATGTTTCTCTCTCTCTCTCCCCCTTCCACTCTATCTGAACAAAAAATGTCCTCGGGTGAGGATAAAAAAATAAATAAAAAATCGGAGAACGGTACCAGTTAGCTTATGAAATCACGCGGTCACTTGCACTGACACTGCGTTGTTACAGCAGACTCCCAAAGGTTGAGGAGTATCTTAGCAACCACTGGTCTGGCCCTGGTTTTAGAGGTAGGGAAATGGAGACCTAGGGGAGGAAAATGGCTTGCCCAAGGTCCCACAGCCAATAATTTACTATAAATCATCTCAAATCTTTTCTTCCTTCTTGTGACCTATGAAGACCTTTGAAGGAATGTGAGGATCAAAGAGGTCAAGTATTTCCGCACAAAGCTGGGTAGCTAGTAAGTGGTGAAGCTGGGTCTGGGACCCACATGTTCTGACAGTTAGTGGGTGGGCTCCTTACAGCAGTGGTTCTCAGCCAGCAACACACTTCAGAGTCACCTGGGGGGATGCAGATGCCCAGGACCCTCCCCAGAACTACTGATTGGAATCTCCAGGGGTGAGGCCATACCATCGCCAAAGACCATCTGGTCTTCCTCTTCAGTATTCAAAGGTGTTTAAGCCCAAACACAAGGCATGAAGAGAAGTGAAAATTTAAAAAAAATTTTTTTCTCTTTATTGATGTTAGAGAGAGAGAAAGGAGAGGGAGAGAGAGATGGAAACATCAATGAGAAAACATCGATTGGCCGCCTCCTGCATACCCCCACTGGGGATCGGGCCCACAACATGGGCATGTGTCCTGACCGGAATTGAACTGGCGACCTCTTGGTGCACGGGTCGATGCTCAACCACTGAGCCACACCAGCTGGGCGAGAAGTGAAATTTTAAATGGAAACTCAAAAATGTCCAGGTCTTGGATTCCGTTCAAGATAAAGAAAAAAAAATTTTATAAAAAGATGACAGCGTAGGTTAATGCGGTGCTAGAATCCTGTAACCACATCAAAATTACAACTAAACTACCAAACAACCATCATTCAGAACTGGCTGAAACATAGCTGGATGGAAGTCTACAACTAAGGATTTAAAGAAGCCACATTGAGACCGGTGGGAGGGGTGGAGACATGAAGCAGGCTGGTTTTATACCCACGTATGGTAGTTAAAAATTGGGAGGGAGCCCTGGCCGGTTTGGCTCAGCGGTTAGAGCGTCGGCCTGTGGTCCACAGAGACTTGGGTTTGGTTCCCACTAAGGGCGCGCACCTTGGCTGCAGTTTGTCCCCGGCTCTGGTTTGGTCGTGTGGGTGATGGCCACTCAATGTGTCCCTTTCACGTCAATGTTTCTCTCTCTCTCTCTTCCTCTCTCTTCCTCTCACTCTATCTGAATAAAAAAATGGAAAAATGTCCTTGGGTGAGGATAAAAAAAAATAAAAAACAAAAGCCCTGGCTGGTTTGGCTCAGCGGTTAGTGAATCAGTCCGTGGACTGAAGGGTCTCGGGTTTGATTC